GTCTCCTTCGTTTAGAGATGTTGATATGGGAGAATTGGTTGATGTTTATTTCAAAACGCTGCATGACCTGGCTTGTTCAGTGGTCTCTCATGTACTAACACTCTCCATGTATTATTATTATTTTTTGCCATTTGTAGCAAATGAATTTTTTATAATTGCAGAAGGGGAGTAAACTGGAATATATTGAATGCAATGTGAAAATATGACCTGTTTGTGCAACTGCCTTTCCAAATGCCTTTGAGTTCTTTCTGTCTCCCTGCACCTCGCTGCTGTAGCTGGGCAGCTTTGACAGTCTCTCTGTGTGTAGGCAAGAGGTTAGCAAAGAAGGGGAAATTAAAACAATGTTGTACATTATATAGTTACTGGCTATTGAAAAACCTATTTTGTATGCAAGACAGCAGTGTAGAGATATATGGAAAGCCTTGGGCTAAGTACAGAAGATAATTACATTTGGAATTTTACTGAGTTAAGTCATTTATAGCTTCAAATAGTTGGAGAGAAAAATCAGCAAAAACACACTTAAACTTCTTGTTGTTACTTTTCAAGATAAGCATTTAAAAAAATTCCTTTTATCTTCTTATCTTACAAATTACCCCTTTTTCTTTCATAGATATTTCCTAAATTTTATTTTCAGGAACACGCTGGTCATGACACTCTTTCTCTATTAGCTAAAGCAATATAAACTATTTTAATATAAGTTTTATAAAAACCAAACTACCAGTCATAAAATGTCAGAGTCTTGCAGAAAACGTTATGAGAGGTGGTCTGTTATTTTAACAAGTTTCTTGAGAATTAGAAGAGCAAATCTGCAGTCTTCCTGGTAAACTGAGATACGAGATAATCTTTAACCAAGATGCAATAATATTTGTGCTGAAGGCAGATGAAGATTCTTCAGTTACAGTCAGCTTGAAAAGCCTGAATGCTTCCTTCCCTCCTGCAGTTCGTGGGCATGTCTGTGCCTGGAACTACAGGAGGATGCCCTAGTCATGAACAACACAGAGATGATGCCAGGTCACCACCTGTTTGTAGTCCTTACAATGTTTTTGAGAGGTTTATCACTGCTGAATTATTCTGATTGTCATGAGTGACTGATATTGATGGATTCACACCCATTTAGTGCTGAGGAGTACATCCTAGCTTAGAGTCACTGCATGAAGTCCCCAGGACAAGAACGTTATTTCAAACTGGTATGAGGGATAAGCCAAAGATTTTTTTGTGTTTGTTCTTCTTGTTGTTTTTTTTTTAACAGTCTTACTAGCACAGAAGATAGGATGGAGGCTTCATGTAGCATGGGATGCTGATAGCAGTGAGACTGTCTGTTAGCCAGGAAGGATGGGTGAAGGAAGTTTGTCCTGCTTCTGAAAAGCCCCTGGAACTCCCCACTTCTCCCTCTCTTCATCTTGCATGTCAATCCTTGGATAATTGCATAAGTATGAACATGGGAGGAGACAAAATTTATCTTCCAGTGCCTAGTATATCTGGCTGGGACTTGTGCTTCACAGGACTGTGATACAATGAAGGTCTAGCTCCATAGCGGAGTTGTCAGTGACTTGGTCTGCAGCACCCAGTGTGGTACAGCAGGGGCAGCTCTACCAGGACCATCTGCCCAACACTTCTGCAACAGAGTGGCACAAATCAGTGCTATGGACAGCAACTTGTGTTCTGTGAGCCAGGTAGAAGAGGGGCCTCATAGCTCCAAGGAGGAGCAAATTCATTGCATTAGAGGGATGCACTTCAGGTTTTGAGTGTGGTGGGCCCAAAAGAAAGCTTTTTTTTTTTTTTTTCCCCAATGTAATTATTTCATCCATAGAAGCTTCATCAGTGTCATGGAGATAAGTTCCATGAGTTCTAAAGAAAGTAATTTTTAAATGAACTTTCTGAAAAAATCAAAAGTCAATCAAGTCAACAAGTCAAAAGTTTGATTGCAAATGGAGTTTTGCAGAAGTATCATGAAGCTTTTCCATCACAAACATGTTTTAAATATCACAGACAAGGTAGAGATCTCCTCATATTTCACTTAGATTAAACAATCTTGACACGATCATTTGTTGCTATTATAAATAATGAGAACTGGGCTTCTGGGTAAGACACAAACATAGGAACATATCCCTATCCTTAGCAAGACCTTAGCTGGAATAGGACATTTATTTTGTAGCACCACCTTTGAATGGAAAAACACTTCAGGACAGCAGCAAGGCTTGACACACTTGAAAAAAGTATCTCCTAATAGGAGAACATAGAGACAGCTGGCCATTTTCCGTGGAGTGAAAGCTCTACTTGGGCTTATTTTTTGTAGCATCCATTGACACTCTTAAAAAATGGATCCTGACCCTTTATTGTACACAGCCTTACTAGGCATCTAACAGGAGGGAAGAGGCTGCATCTTGGTTGTCTCTTGCATTGCTCATGGTTCCTTTCTTTCCCTTTGTCCATAGTGCTTTTCCTGCTGCTGAAGAGGTCTTCTCTTCCCATTGTGCTGGGTTTCCATTTTCACATCCTTGCTTCTTGCCATTGTTTTCTGTCTGCTTTTCCTCCTGTGCAATGTCTGCACTTTTCTGTGCCTTCCGTCCTTTTCCTTGGTCCACAGACTCCTATACTTCTCCTCTCCCTGAGCCCCTTTTGTGTCTTCCCTCTCCTGCTTATCACATATGCATTTTCAGGATTTAACCTCTCCAGACCAAGGCATATGTCTTGATATCCAAGTTTTCAGAACACTGTATGTGAGCTCTGGAAGAGTTTCCCATGGAGCCACTATTAGGAACCTAGCCTGTGGTGGAGCCCCAGAGAACTGGGGGAACCTCAGAAGGTCAGTCTTGCCATGAGGAATTGAGTGGCCATCTGAAAACTGCCGCCATTTAGAGCTTTGAGAAGGAACATCAGAGAAAGGAACGAGGCTTCAGATGGGACTATAGTGCTAGGGTCTTTTCCTACCCAGCATTGTGCAGCACAGAACTCTCAGGCTACAGTAAACTCCATGGAGAACCAAGAATTTGCTGTTTCTGATCTGCTCCTCAGTGATGGACCTTCAAATCATAGAATCATAGAATTGTTTGGGTTGGAAGGGATCTTTAAGATTATCTAGTTCCAACCCCCCTGTTACAGGCAGGGACACCTCCCACTAGACCAGGTTGCTCAGAGCCCCGTCCAGCCTGGCCTGGTAAGGTCTTTGCCCCCAGGTACTGAATTTCACCAGGCTGCCTCTGGACCTGTGAACATTTCAGGCTTCAGATCTAAGTCCTTGCCACAGGGGACTTTTATGGATCTGAAGCCTTGTGGTTTCTCCTACTCCGTTAGTCAGTATTGTCGTTCAGGGAGGGTTCTGCAGCCAGAGGCAGGGATCCCTTTCCAGCAGGGCACAGGAGAGCTGTGAGTGCCAGCTGAGCCCACGGCTGTGGACACAGCTGCTCTGCTCCCCCTGTCCTGCCCCATGCCAGGGGCAGGGTTTACCAGTCCTACTTCAACTGCACCTTGAGTGTATACATTCAAATGTAGTTTTGTAGGCTGAGTACTGGCAGAAAAGCAAACAGTTGCCTACAGAAGCTTAGAAGCACTGGAACAGAGCTGCAGTAATCAGTTTATTTCTGTTGTATAACAGCCCTTGCCCAATAACGCTATCAGTAGATGAGGAACATTTCCCTGCAGCTCCACTAAGAATCCCCATGTGCGGACAGTCTGCGCTCCAGTGAGTGCCACCAGTGAGAATGTGCTCCCATCAGTGCCCACTGAGTCCTCCTGGCTTCTTCTGAGGAAGCTTGCTGAAGGAGGAGCTGCTGGTGACAATCTGGTTTTTTATCGGTACTGCTTCCTCACATAGGGGAAAAACAGTTTAAAGAAATTCTTCAGATTTTTTTACTTCTCTTCAGTGCTTTGAAACTGAGAGACCTCTATTTTTCATAATTTAAACTCCTGCCTAACTGGGTGAGTGTTTGAATTCCTAGACTATGACAAAACACCAGTGTGCGTCTGCCTGAAATGTCGAGAGGATCTTTAATAACGTTCACCCACCAGAAACGGCACTAAAAGCGTGCTAAGATGATGACTGAGAACAATAAAAGCAAGGACCCCAGCTGCTCCAGGCCAAACACCGTTTTGCTGAGGGGCCCGGAGGAAGCACAGTGCAGGGCATGCTCCATGCTGCCCACTGGCTTTGCTGGTGGCTTTCCCTGCTGCCACTGCTGTGCTGCAAGCAGGAAGTTTTCAGGTGCCTCTGAGCTTTATTTGTTTTGGCTAAAGCTTTGGTTCCTGCGGTAGCCTGCAGACCAAAATTTAATGCACAGATGACCCTGCCAAGCAGCCCCAGCGCCCAGGAACTGCTAAGAATGAGAGATTGCACAACAGAGCTGCACCAAGACTAAAATATTTATTGTTTTGTATTTGTTCTGTGGAAAGCACGGCAGCTGAGGGGTGAGACCTCTACTTTCTCTGAAGAAGTCCTCAGAGGACTCTGAAAGGGAGACGTTCCCACTGCATTGCTAAGAGCCCGCCCCTGCTCTTCTGTGGTCTCCAGATCTCCAGAGCAGATCTGGAGGCAGATTGCAGGAGATCTAGTATCACCTTTAGCTTTTCTTTCTTGCCATGGAGATTTTTGACCAAGAAAAGAAAAGCAGCTTGCAAAGGCCAGTGATTTGGCTTTTGCACTTCCAAAGCACACAGTGGTGACACCATTTTTTCCTTCATTTAATTCCTGCCTCGGAAAGTTGTGTGCCAAATTTTATCCCATTGTGACATCTTTCTGGCACAGGCAGAACCCCCTTGCCCTGCAAAGAGCAAGACAACCTTGACTGTAAGGTTATGAGTGGGGATTTATGACCAAGTCTCTTTTTATATACACTTAGCCCAGCTTTACTGCTACAAACAGATGACTGTGATAAGGTGGGCAGGTTGTTCAACATTTCACTGGAATGCGAGCACAGTTCTCCTCTTGGCACCAGGATCCTGATTGTCTAAAACAAAACTACAGAAATTGTCATGTCTAAGAACCTGATCCAAGTCCTATTGGAAACAGGAGCCTTTATGTTGAGCATATAGGCTAATAGCACATCTTTTTCATTAGTATTGTCTTCTAACATATTCCCGCTTCTTAATTTTTTTTTACTTTTTTTCCCCTGTCTTTTTTTAAGAGCAGCCAGAAAACGTCCTATTTTCCTTTAGAAAAAAAAATTATCTATATATTGTTTCCCAAACCACTGAGATTTAGTGCCTGGCCAGTGCATTGGTAATGTACTTGGAAGCCGTTCTGGCCACAGCAGTACACTGTGATCTTGAGATCTCAATGGGAAATTGCAGGGGAAGTGAGGATCAGCCTATGGGCATCCCCTTAACATCTAACACAGGAGCCTGGCCACACTTCTGGGCTGTGACACAATGGATGCAGGTAGCATTTCTGCCCAGCTGCCATTTGGCATGCACCTTAGGGATGCCAGCAGTGGTGATTCCAACTGCTGCTCTTGTCCCTGCCGGGTTCCCCTGGCAGCCCCTGGGGGCTTTACCAGCTCTTGGGGGGTCGCAGTGATGTGGGAGCTGTAGCCCATCCACATACTGCTCATCCCATGGTGCAAAAGGAGGACAAAGCATGCAGGGTCACTGCACAGCGTGCCTTCTGCTGCGCTTCCCGGGTTAATAAACATGATTCACTGGTGTCTTTTAGCTGTCAGGGCTAGAGTGAACCTCTCGGTGCCAGCAGGTCTAGCTTTTCTTGCTGAAGGGCTAATGCATTTTGCTTTGAGAAATACTGACACCCAGCACCAGGCGTTAGCTTTGCCTCATGAACAGACCGTATACAATTTCCAAACTGCTCAGCAATAAAACTCTCCTGTCTTCTGCGTTGGTGCCAACTGTTTAATTAGGAATAAGCAGAGGTTGGATTTTATTCCTACAAGTAATAGAGCATTTTTTTCTCCCCCTTCAGCTTGCAAAAGATAAAGAGCGCCTGCAAGCCATGATGACACACCTGCATGTGAAGTCAACTGAACCAAAAGCCACCCCTCAGCCTGTAAGTACTGAACTGTGCAGAAAGCAAAACCAAACCTCACACCAAACTTCTTTTTCTTGTTTCCCACCTGGGTGTGTGACATGAAGCGTGGCTTTGCTGTGTGCCGCAGGCAGGAGATGCAAAGTGAGAAGTATTTGGTAGTTTTTCAGGGGGCACAGCCCAGAGACCCACCTCTCTCCTTCCTCCAGGAGGCTGATGGGAGCTGGACCCCAAAGAAGGGCCTTTAGGTGGTCTGTAGGTTGCTTTACATTGGTGCCACTTGCATGAAACCTTAGGAAGTGTTAGGAAGGAGACGTGATTAAATTATATGTAGCGTATTTATTTGACTTTCTCCCTGTCTGACAGGAATTTACAGTAGAACAGACTCTTGTCGCACGTTTCGATGATAATCACTGTTGCCTAGTATCAGGTTTTATACCACTGAAACTGAGAAGGGAAACCTTCTCCACTGCAGATTTCTCTTCAGAAAAGGTGCTGTGGGGGTGGCCAGTGGGGTAGGAGGGCTCGATCAGCCACTCCATAAACTCCTTGCAAGGCAGCCAGTGGCTTTGCAAGCCAAGCCATCTCCTGGGTCCCCCAGTACAGGGCAAGCCCTCTGTCTTCTTCCCTGACCAAAGCGACTCCTCGTCTGTTGTTTTCTTCTCACCTCTTAATGCTGAAAATGCTCCTCAGAGCTTCAGATGATTATTCAAAATGGAGAGAGTGCTTTGCTTCTTGATTTTAAGATTTGTAAGATTTAAAGGTACACTGGCTTTATTTGATTTTGCTTTGAGTCATTGTGTGAAAATTAATTGAGCGTTGACAATCTATAGTTAGTACTAGCAATTTTAATCAATATGCAATGATGCAGCATAATGACAAAGTATTGGTTTATCTGTTTTGACTGATTTTTTTTCTATAAATAAAGCAAACATACACCCATATATGTGTGATTTATGGTGATAGAAATAAAAAAGAGTCAGACTATTAACCCAGCAAATATGGTAGCCTGCCAAGATGCAGTTGGTAGACAAAATTAATGTCTGAAACAGAACACATTACAGAGATAGAGAACATAAAATCATTAAACACTTCGCGCACCCATTTTTACTAGGAACGGATTTCTCACTTTCCATGTAGTTGGGAATAAATGGCTGCAGAAGTGGATAGGAAGGCTAAAGGATAGAAAATTGCAGGCTGTTCAGGAACGCTGGAGCAGATGTCAAAGTCAGTGGGAAGTTTTCAGGGCAGTCTTGGTAGAGTTGAGCGGTAGGTACGAACCCTTCCATTTTGGCTGATGAGATTCATGAAGCTGCTTGGTCTGGAGGATAGCAGCTCTCCAGAGTAGAAACTGCGTGCAGCATCTATAAAAATAGCATTCTTCTAGTTCCTCGTATCCATCTCGGCCTGAATGCAAATGCTTCAGCGCATTGTTGGCAAAGTGCGTAGACCCAACAGAATGGGAGGAGGCTTGGTTTCTATAGCTCTTACTGGATTAAAAATTAAAACAGCGGAATAATCTGGGAGTCTCAGAGCACTCTGCCTTGAGGCCTTTCGTAACAGCAGTGCCCCTCAGGAGGAAGGATTAAAAACTAAAGGGAGGAAATCACAAGAAGGCCAGCGCTGCTTGGCAAGGCAGCCGGTGATCAATGCTGCGCCGCGGAGGGCAGCAGCTTTGGCGGGCGTTGTAGGCTATGGAGGTACCAGGCGGTGTCGCCATGAAGATTAGTGTTAACAGCTAATAAACAGGGAAAGCAGAGGGAGAGAAAGAGAAAAAAAAAAATAAAGGGGGGAACGCAGGGGGAACAGGGCTGTCTTGATTAGTATTAAAAATGTTTTACATTCTGGAAAATTATAGCTTTGTTGGGGACCTCCTACTAAATTTATTTTTAACTGCTCTATTGAAAATTCTGTACCACTAGTCAACATTATCTCTCAGTTGCTCAGCACAGTGTTTCTTTATTAAAAGAAATAGGCATGAATATTTTTGACTGAAAAATTAATAGCTTTTGAATTCATACACAGCAGGTTTTCTTTTGCAAAGAAGTCCAATATCGCTGCACAGCACTTCTATAACCATTTATTTAGAGTCCAAGTCAAACCTTTGACAGCTAGAGCAGTGTTACAAGCCAACATAAAGAACTCCAAGATGTAAACCAACAATAGGCAGTCTGTGTGAGGTTTGCCATTGTCAAATACATAGATTGTTTGGATTAGTTTATGTAAATGTACTGTTGTATTACCCTTTGGAAAAAAAAAGATCACATTTGTGTATGAAAAGTGGTTTCGTTCACAGGCAGCATTATAAATTCCTTATCCTTTAACTTACATGTTAGAAGTAAAAATTGGTGCCTGACAGGCCTATATTGTGTGGCACTCTGTTGTTGGATTGAAACTGCCTTCTTTTCATTTATTGAAATATAGAAAAATTTATTACAGATACCATCTGATAAATCAGAAATTATTAAAATATGTATAGGTGAAGCATTTGAAAATTAATTATAAAATGTAGGAGTATAATGTTTTGCATAAATTGTGCTTTCGTTATGAAAAAATACACAGGCACCGCATAGACTCTGCTAGACCCCAGTCCTTTTAACTCAGTGGGATAGGACTTTGGTAAAAAGATCTGATGACCATTATTGCAGTGCAAAGTATTCTTTACATCCAGTAATTAATTTTTTTGCCAACATAACTAATGCAAGGTGTACGTTAGAATTAATATATTACGGTGCATCAGCAGTTATACAGGAAAGAGTGGCTGCAAATCCAAACGTAGCAATGAATTGGGATTTAAAATTACACCCTTTTCATGACTGAGAAAACGTTTTTATTCTGCTTAAAGGATCTTAATGCTTGTTTTTAAACAGTTTTGTTGCTGTGAGGCGGAACTGGTGCCTGAGCTGCTTAGTTCACTGGTGCTTTCACCACGTGCCTTGTGTAACCTGTGCTGGCCATTGGCCTTCCCTTGGGCTTCACGCAGGGCTGAGCAGTGGTGGCTGGACCCCAGGCAGCTTCTTGATGCTGCTGCACTGATCACAGCTCAGCCAGGTGTGGGGAAGCTGGTCCTGTCCATCGATTGCATCCCCAGCTGCAGGTGCTCCTTGCAGTTATTTCCACCCCTCCAGTGGAAGGGCCAGTGCCCCACGCTGTTGTACCAAGGCAGGTGCTCTGTAAAGCTCTTCAGACTTACAAAGCCACGAGACTTAACATGTTCTCGTGTAACTCAGTACTGATGACCCGAGCTGTTGGCACATAGGTCTGTATGTGGGGTTGCTGCAGGTAGGGCAGCTCTTCTGCCTTAGGGGAGCTCCTTTCTGGGCAGCCGAGAGAGTGGCACTGAGGAAGGGCTGAGCATTGACGCAGGTTGTGCTGGCTGCCTGTTTGCTAATGGCCAGCTTTGTAATTACCATGTCCAGAGGTGCAGCAGCTTAAAAGAAAATGGAAGTACCTCAGCTTAGCACTTGGAAGCGCAGAGTTGTCCCTCTTACTGCTGCATGTGTTGTTTTGGTGACAATAAAGGGCTGAGCAAAGTGAGAACGAAGCTGTGAAGGAATACGCTGTGACATATCTTTGTAAGGTACGTTTTTTTTTCAGCGAGGAACAAAACAGAGAAAGCCAGAACAATGATTGCTCAAGAGCTGTCACTCTGGTTTTGCTGTTAAGATGGTTCCCCTCAATTCTGTTTTTGTTGGTGCAAGTGGTCAGCGTGGTAGGTTAAGATGGAAATGTGATTTTATTTTGGAGGATTAACTAACACTGCAGTTCACAGGAAGGAAAGGAAAAGGAAAAAAATCACGAACCAACAAATCATTGTGCACGCTAGGTGCCATATCCATCTTTAAAAACTGGTAGAAAACTTGAAGAGAAACTTCTGGCACCTCAAATGAAATGTACTGTTAGATATCCCTTATTTAATGTATTTTTTTGCCCTAACCATAGCAATTACGATTGTTTTGAAATACTGTTTTTAGCAACTGTAATAACAAAGCATTTTAAAAATGGTCTTTTAACTCTTGAGGGAATGACTGAGCATTTTAGCTGCTGTAGCCATACTTTATAGTTTGAAAAAATAACGATACGCAGCAATAAAGAGAGATTCTCAAGCACAACAAAAGCTGTTTTTATATACTGGTTTTCATTAAGTCTCACTCCTCAGCTTCGGTTTCCTCAGTGCTGCTGCCAATAACAACACCTGCTAAGTGATTGCTGCCTGCCAGGCTCCCATCCAGCGCTGCTGTGTCCGAGCTGGAGCAGGAGAGGAGGATGCAGCATTGAGCAAAGCTCTGGGCCCAGCCTGCCATCCCACCCTCCGTGTCAAGAAAAGCAGTCTCTGCTTCGGAGTGTTGTAGGGTCCAGCAGCTCAGTTCTGATAAACCCTCACCTCTAATCACAACCAAAACAGCAGCATCAATGGCAGGGGAATCCCTGCCCTGCAGCAGTGGGTATGGCCTCTCCGTGACATTTATAAATGTGTATTTCTTTTTTTTTTTTCCTCTTCTAAAAGTGTTCCAGATCGGGGTTTTTTACTGCAGCCCCTATTGTCATGGAAGATATTTACACAGAGAGGAATCAGGCTGAGCCCTAATGGGAGAGCCACTTACTGGAAATCTATTTTACAGGGTGAGAGAGAGGGCTACCTCTCTGTCTTGTTTATATCTAAGGAAAAAACCATGACTCAGTCTTCACCTTTAATAGGAAGACATGACCATTTCTTGAAAGGGAAGGTTAATACTAAAATCCTAAGCAGGATATTGGATGCTGAAACAATTAAAACATTTATGGATGTTGAGTTAAAGCGGCACGAGGCACGGTTCTTCAAAACTGAAACTGAACAAAGCACCCAGCACCCTTCGCTGACTAAATTTACAGAATTTCAGGACTTCAAACTGTTACGGGGTTTGGTGGCTTTTTGTTGTTTTATTCTTGTTTTCTTTTGTGGCTGGAGGAAATCCTCCCTCCCCCATCCCCAGCGTAAATGTTGCAGAACCAGTTAACCCTTGGGTGGCAGGGCTGCGCCTTGCTGCCCACTGCTGACTTTGTGCCTTGTGTGCAATCCCTTCAGCCAGAAACAGCCCCTCACCAGAACATGCAGTATGTGGGACACTGGCAGTGTGCAAAGTACCAGTGTGAACAACTTTCCTAATCATAGAAACTTGTTTTTAAATAGAAGATGTGCACAGCATCAGGAAAAGAAACCCTCCCAGCCCAGTCCCTTCCTGAGCTTTGCCCCGAATTATCATCCGCTGTGCGTTTCTGATTGCCGGCAGTATCGAGATTTAACAGTTTACAATTCAGATGAATATTTCAAGATGGCAACAAAACCAACACCATTCATAATTTGTTGTTCTGCTCCAATTCACCACCGAGCTCTCCGCCTTGACACTGCGGATCCCACGAAGACAGCGGCCCTCACCTCCCCATACCCACCCCACGTTGTGGTGCCATCACCAGAGGGGTCGGTCCCCTGCCCAGGAGCAGAGCGGTACCAGGTGTGGGGCAGGAAGAGGGAGAACTTTGCTGGCGAGCCCCAAGGTTGTCTTTCATTAACTTGTTGGTTCAGGCTCAGCGCTGGCCGGCGGAGGTGAAGCACAGCACACTCGCTATGTTCCAGCTTTTTGTTCTTTCTTTCCTCACAGACTGCAGTCATGTTTAATTTGGAAACTGGGCTCCTTTGGCAAATTAGCAATTAGAACAATTTTGTGGGAATATGTATATGTGTCATTAGTTTTCCTGCAAATTAATAGCGAGAGCAGAGGTCAGGCAGAAATTTTCCACTTGACTGCAGCTCCTCTGTTGAGATTTGGCACTTTGTTTTGGAACGGCCACAGCTGCTCAAAGCCACAGTCTTCCTTTAGGAACTGTCTTTTAATTAGTTTACCTCATAGCCATTATTACAAATATTACTGCCTCCCCTCCTTGAAATAAAATTACTGTTTCTACAAAATATTCCAGTGACATCTTGCACCACTGCACATTGATGGTGGGGTCACTCGAATGCAGCGTTTAATCATTAGATCACCTCCATAAGCATCTCCTAATTAGAGTCCTTACAATACAATTTTATCTGGTAATTAGCTGAGATTGGCTGCTTCCTCTGTAGCTTATTAGTGGCAGCCCAGCAGTGGGTGTGAATCACAGTGTCATTTGTCAAGCCTGTTAGGGTCCCCCCCCTTTGCTCATCCTCTCTTCTGTTTATTTCTAGTTGCTACCTACGCTGAAAAGCCTAAAGAAATCTAACTCGATTCAAATTCTTGAAGCAGGGAATGCTGACCTTTGGGGATTCTCTCTCTCGCAGCTCTCTGGTAGAAACAGATTAAATGTTAAGTTTTTAAACGCTAAAAAAGGAAGCGAACTCTTTTGAAATGGAGTAGCGAGAGCCGTAATGATGGAGCGCGAGCAGTGATCTTTCCAACAGGAGGGCCCGGCTGCCGAGCCTCTGCCAGAGACGGGCACTTAAAATTGATGCAGATTTGCTCGCAGTTATTGGACTGTTAAAATGTCCATTTAGAAACTGAGATAAAATACAGAAGATTTAATTTCATGGTGAGACCTGTCAGTTGTACTATTATTATCATCACTGGTCCTTTTATCATATGTAATAGATGGATAGATGGATAACAGGGAGACATTACAATGAGCGTGTCCCTAATCAGTGGCCTTAAATCACGCCAGTCAACAAGCAGAGGTGGCAGCGGCACCACAGGCTCAGTGTTCATGGCAGGATGCTCTGGGAATCACTGCCTGCATTTGAGCACTCTTGTCATGTCCTTGCTGGGTTCCTCCTTCTGTGGCCTCACCATGAGCTGCTGGGTGGTTCCCATGTGGGCACAGGGCACACAGGGAATGGGTTGCCTGCAGTACCTGAGCAGCATGCAGGGCTGCAGGCAGCAGCAGCACTTGGCTGCGTGAGGATTTTGTGGCGGGGCTTTAATGCAGGCAGAGTTGCTCAAAAAGCAGGGACAATTTATTGAAAAACCGGTGCTATTTATCTGTCTCTCTGCTGTGCCCTTCCTGTGGGCAATCAGCTTTTTGTCTTGGTGTCATTTCTGTGACACGAGAGCCCTTTGTTTTCCGTTACCTTTGTTTGGGATAAATCCTGTTGTTTTGATAAAGGAGCAGCAGTATTTCTGGCTGTTAACTCAGACGAGGGATGCTAATAGGAGTTTTCTTATCTGGTTACTTTCACACGAGGAAAATTAATACAGAGTCTTATGGATAAACATGAGATGTTTGGGGGCATATCTGAATTGTGTGCCTCGCCTTCATCTGAAAAGCTTTAATGTCCAGCCAAAAGGAATTTTAATCAGAACAAAAGTTATAAAATTCTGGCCCTGTTAAATTCAGTAGGAATTTTGCTACTGACTTCAATGGGGTCAAGATTTCAGCAGTATTATTCACGAAAGTGCCTAAGGGAAGGAAATGTGGAAGTAGTCAAAGAGCCCTCCTCTCCCTCATTTTTTCTGATGTCGTTAAGAGATGGGGTTGTTTGTTTAAAGTACTCCAGCAGGAGCAACCTACTGTAAGGGAGCATCGTTTTTCAGAGGGCATTGCAGGGCAGCGGGGTGGGTATGGCTGGGTGCTGAAAGTGGTTGGGCTCTGTTTGGGTTGGATGCACAGTCCCAGAGGCGTTCAGCTGCTTGTGCAGGTAACACTGTGCCTCCCGTCAAGGGAGAGCGGAATGGTGCCACTTGTGCTGGGCTGAGTGGCTGCAATATTTCATGTGGTGTGATTAATTAAATTATTCCAGAGTTAACCTACGCAGGGCTTTGCTTTTAAAATGGATGAACAGGAGGGGAAGGGAAAAAAAAAGCAATCCCAAATGCTGAAGAGAGAGATTGCGTTTCTCCCTACTATGTCCCTATGAAAATCTGGCTTTTTATTCTTAGCCTGATGCCTTCAGTGAAATGTCCAAGAAGACTGATCAGAAGCCGTGCATAATGATAGCATGGAAATAAGGGGTGTGGGGTTGAAATTGTGAAACAGCAGAACTGCAGTAAAATACCAAGATGATGGCACTCTCTGTAAGATCTTTTAAGGTTCGGATGCAAATCCAGTATGTGTAGTTCTGGCAGCAGGATGCCTTGTTCATTTTATAAAATCCATCTATCTGGAAGTGTACATATTTATTTCCGTTTGCTAATGGAGATGCTACAACAGCACTTGGAGCTGAAGCGAGCACTCGAGCTGCGTTGCCTCTGAGTGGAGGGCCGTTCCGTTAATGAGAATTTCCCCCACCACCCTTAATTAGCCACAGTCGCCCTTTGTAATGCAGCCTTCGTCCTTTCCCTCCGCAGCTCAATCTGGTGTCCAGCGTCACGCTTTCCAAGACAGCGTCCGAGGCTTCTCCACAGAGCTTACCTCATACTCCCACCACCCCGACTGCACCCATCACTCCCGTCACGCAGGGACCGTCGGTCATCACTACCACGAGCATGCACAACGTCGGGCCCATCCGGAGGCGGTACTCGGATAAATACAACGTCCCCATTTCTTCAGGTAAAGCGGTGCTGCCGATACGGGCCCTTCCCAGCCCGGCAGCTTTCTGCTGCCTACACCCGCAGCCACGGGCTGTGATGATAACAGAACAACTGCTCTTTATTTAGCAGATATTGCCCAGAACCAAGAATTTTATAAGAACGCAGAAGTTAGACCACCGTTCACGTATGCATCTTTAATTAGGCAGGTGAGTGGAGCCAAACACAGGCATTCGGATTAGACAAAGTCTCCCTATATGTGCGCGCTCTGGATTAAATAGATTTTCAAACCTTTGGTATGTAAGCATGCTCAAATGCTCAAACCTTTACTATAAGGGTTTTTAGAACTGCAATATATAACATAATTGCTTTTGATTAAGTATTACAATACGATGTGATTATTAGGAAATTCATTTCACACAACAGTGAAAATGAGCCTGTTTAAAGATGGCAAGTCAATTATCACAAGCTACAGTAATCTCTGATCCCTAGAATTAATCTGAGCTCTAAATAATTACTGAGCTTTAATCAGCTAGTGAAATGTTTTGCATTTCTCTTTGATTCTGCTTTATGAATGACTAATAAATTAATATTTCTGTAAGGAAACAGAAATAAAAACTCAAAACAATTAGATAATTCCATTTTGAATTTTGCCATTGAACTGTTAAATACAGCCATTAATCTTAGTTCATATTGTGAAAACCTTCCTTCGGATTTTTGCTCCAAATCCCTTCTCTTATTTTCTTATTCCTTCGTTCTTTCATTCTTTTTGTATTGGTCCAAGTAAAACTCTGACTGTATTATGTACTGACTTGCTCCCAACTGATGTTGCCATTGATTTGCTTCACAAGGCCATCCTCGAATCTCCAGAAAAACAGCTAACACTAAATGAAATCTACAACTGGTTCACGCGAATGTTTGCTTACTTCAGGCGCAACGCGGCGACGTGGAAGGTAAGCCTTAGCCCTGTGTGCCTCTTGCCTTTGATATCTGACATGTACAGAATAGACGTTGCTGATGACATAACAAATTGCAACGACGTGTGGACATGAAAATGTAGATCGGCAGTTGTGACACGCGCTGGGTGCCTTATCTGCAGGAACAATTTGATATTTGGCAGAAAAACTCCTCTGCCTTTGAAAACCACTAATTGAATCCCCCATTATTGGCTTTTATGTTCTGTGATTATGCCACGAGTTCCTCTGTGTGGTTGCTGCTAGCAGTGAAACTCAAGCCCGTCAGCTGGAATGTATTAAAAAAAAAAAGAGGTAATGTTATTGTGTCGGTGGAGGATATGCTGTTTGTCTTCTTAGTTATGCAGGCTGTAATCACAACAACTGATTTTTTTCCCCTAGGATCAGTAGATAAATGGATTCCTTTCCTCAATCAGTTGACTCTCAACTACATACACAGATATTTTACAAACTTCTACATTTTAGTCACACAGCAGCAGCTCACTGAACATACTGTGTAAGAAGCAAGCCTTACCATAAGAAATCCGTTCAACAGAACTAAACATTGATATATTTGGCACTTCAGTTTCCTACCGTAACCATCTCTGATGTTGTTGGATAAAAGATCTTGGGAGTTACTTGTATTTTGGGGCCGCTCTTTCTCTCGTACGTAGCATTACAACAGCCAGACTGGCTTCTTAAGCTGGTATCATTACTAATTAATGAATCAAAGCAAAGGATCTTGTATTGCAGTAAAAATTGCATCCCAGTAGTTTGAGCTGCTCTCAATCTAGACAGCTCTGTTGCTCTCAGACTTCAAATGACCAGGTAGCATGAATGTGTTCCATACTTGCTGTTTCATTTGCTCTTTCTATTTTTCTTGTCTCAGCCTGCATTTGGAATTAATTACATCAGAGGATGGAGCTAAAAAATCGTCCTTGGAAGTTAGTTCAGTTTTAGTAGCACAGTTAGATTCAGGAAAAGTCTCTGTGATTGCTGCTTTGATTCTTCAACTTCAGTTAGAAAACATGAGCAGTGTTTCACTTTGCAGACTCCTTACTGTCCAGAAAGGAAATTAACTTTCCCTGATTTAAGATCCATTTAGACCTGCCTGTCTTTTGCTGCTGGAGCGCTTCCAGTAGGCCTTTTCAGCAGCTGCAGGTGTGGGTGCTAAAGCAAAAATCCTATCTAATTCCAGCGGTGAAAGGAAGTGGAGAAGGGAGTGGAAGAAGGCAATCTTGGCAGCCTGCAAGGCTAATGTTAGGAATTAGCCTTGCGTATCACTTAAAATCAAGTCCCAGGAGCCACGTGCACTAACGGTGTGCTTGTACAGAGGAGGAGAGAGGCTGAGCTGGAGACCCTTGGGCTTGCAGAAGAGCACAGCAGGTCTGTGCGGAGACCAATCGTGGACACCCTGACCCTATCCAGGAGCCTACATCCTGCTTCACAGCCTGGGAAGGAAAGGTTCACTTCAACTTCTGGCTTCCATGCAAGGAATGCAATTTTTGAGCTACTCAGATTCATGCCAGCCTTCAGGAACAGCGGGGATGAAAATGCAGCTCTGGCTTAGCATGACGGGAAGCCCACGGGGCGCAGAATGAGCGCAAGGGTCTAATTGCAGAATCAGAATAATTTGAATACATATGTGCTGATTTGAGCTCACCTTCAGCTAATGTATAGCGGGCATTCAGGTCAGTTTTCCTAAAGTTTAGGTCAGGGTTTGGTGTGGGCAGGCTTCCTGGAGACCTGTTTCAAAACCACAGATGAGCACAGGAATAACAACCTTGAAAAAATGAACCTCTTCCCCAAAATGCACTGCAGTGGAGCTTGAGCAGTTACGAAAATTACAAACCCTTTCATTTCCTACATTCAAGTATGTTCAGGGTAATTTTTCTACAAAAGTGGCTTGCGTACAAATATTTTTACCAAGGTAAATATATAATCTTAGAATAATAGCTCCTAATTTTTGTGTTAAGCTGATTGCTATGGGAGCACTGTGAACTGGTTCTAACAGGTCAGAGGCGATGCCTGTTTACTTTTATTTTTTGGAGTAATTTGCTGGCACTGAATTGCAGCCATGAGGCGCAGGCTGCAGGTGTGGCTCTGAAACATGAATAAAACTGCTAGATAGCAAGTATCCAGAGGCACTGAGAACAAAACAATGGGGTTTTTTTTGTGATGAATTCCTTAAACAAGTGATCGTACTGAAAACTGAAAGTGAGGGCAGTGCTTTGTGGACATCCCAAATACCCAATGTGTTTGTCTCAGTATCTTCAGCAAGAGCCTGATCCGGCAGTCCCAGCCCTCGATGGCAAGTCACATAGCGGTCTGTAAAAGATTTCTCCAGCATTAGATATGTTTAAAGAACACAGAGATTTCTGCTCAGCTGTGTATTTGGAGACTGTTTACAAACTCCGAGGACTCACTTCACGGAACTCTGCTGTATGCATTTGATCAACTGCCGTATTAACTGGGAGATCGGCTTTCACTGTGGGAAATAGCATTATTATTCTTACATTTTGCTCCAGACTTGACAGCGTTCCCATTTTCACAGGAAACTGCCTGAGTTACCCAGATGTGGGCCGGCAGCCCTGTGTCAGGTTGCGCTCACACGGAGCTCTGCTCCACCGGCGGCTGCTGAGCTCGCTGCTTTCCACCCGTAAGGTGTGGGGCGTTCGCAGTGTTCTGCTCCACCTCCCAGTCAGGGGGGTTGCCAGAACTTGACAAACTAATGAAAACCGGGAGAGGAGGGAGAAGAGTCATTAAAAAAAAGGAGAACAAAGAGCAGGAAGAATGACAAATGGATGCCCACGGAAGAGCTGAAGTGCACAGAGCTTGCCACAGAGCCAGGCCATCCCCGTGCCTGTGGGATCGGGCACCTGCAGCCAGAGGAGATGAGCTTGCTGCCAAGTATCTGCTGAAAGCTCCCATGGATCAGGGACAGTGCTAGTGATTGCAGGGACATGGAAAAGTAGCAAAAGACTCTTCTTAGCCTTTCCCTTGCAAGCACACACACCACTGCTGCTTAATTTACATGACAAATGCACTCTCCATACCCTTTGTTTGCACAGTGATTTAGACATTCATGATTAGAGCTCACTTTCACCATCCAGACCCGATGTTCATTAAAAAAAAAAAAAAAAAAAAAGATGACGATGACAGGAGGGAAAAAAGTGTGGTCTCTTGGTTGCCTAGACCCAGGCCATGTGTTTGGCTGGCATTGTGCCTGCTAACGAGTCAACCAGATTGACTAAATCAGTGGTGCCAGTGATGATGGATGGAGTTTGTTCGCCTGCATATTCTCAGCAAATGGCTTCTTCTGCTCTCCCTGCTTTCCAAGCTCCTCTCGGTGGTACTGGAGATGAGCTCTGTGTACCAACTGGAGCAGCTTTGCACTGGGGAAACCCACGCTGTGGAATGTAGCATGGCACTCCGTGTGAGCAGTATGGGAAGCAGAGAGAGCAGAGCCCCCGCTTGCCGTGAGGCAACAAGGTGTCTCATCGTGGCCACCTGAGGGGAAGGTCTGACTGCACTGCAAGTTATGCCGGGCTCATCCTCCGAACCACAGCTCACACCCAAGCACAGAGCCTAGGAGCGCCAGGGTCCCTCCGGGTGATGAGCTGCAGGGATATTATCACTTTGTTTCAGAGAGCCCTCCTCGTGTTTGCACTTGGCAGAAGCTCAGATCAGTCCATGCAGCAGTCTGCCAGGAACGGGAGCCAACTTCCATATAAGAGCACACAGCAGAGGCAGGGGCTGGGGCCGTGGCGGCCAGCGGGGTGCTGCCGAGCCCTGCTCTGTGCCGCCGATGGGGCAGGAGCTCAGCACCTGATTGCCATTAACCCAGCTGTGGGAAACCACAGGAGCAGCAGCCCCAGTGCCTCCCCGCTCCATTGAGCCGTCCACACTCACACGAAATCCTTTCTGTTCTTTCACAGTGCTTTCTTTTCCAGGAGAGGAGAAGCTTATGTATTTGTTTTGAAAATGTCGATGCAATGTTCCTCTTGCGTTGTGTATGAAATGTGCCATATTATACAACGTGCGTGTTTATAAAATGATGGCTGTTCTCATTTGTACTGTGGGTAATTGATAAGAATGAGCTGATTTTTGTAATCTTGGGTTGAAGCTTTTATATTTGTATTAACTTTGCAAAATAAGATGTAAAGAGCTGGGGTGCGGGGAGAGGGGTTGACATTGCAAAATGAGGGCTGTCAAGCTGACTGTGCTGCTGTTCTTGGACAATGATGAGCATTTTCTCATAGAAAGTTTTTGAATGTATTCTCTTGCTGCAGAATGCAGTGCGTCATAATCTTAGTCTTCACAAGTGTTTTGTGCGAGTAGAAAACGTTAAAGGGGCAGTATGGACAGTGGATGAACAAGAGTTCCAAAAACGAAGGCCACAAAAGATCAGTGGGTATGTCCACCATGTTTGAACTTCTTAGCCTAGCTTGGATCATGCTTACAGTTTAACGTAGAGGCTTTTGGCTGCTAGCTGGTGTTAGACCAACCACAGGTGGTTTCGCATTGTTTCAGTTAAGGGAAACCAAGACAAACATCTCATCACTACTGTTTGTATGCCCACCAGTACCCTGACCCTGCTTGCTTGGTGTTTGTTGCATCACATGCTAGTAGCTTTTAGGTGGCAATGCATATTAACCCTCACAAACCATTTGCTTATGCTTATTGCATTTTATTTTCTTTTTCCTTTTCCCTGTATTTGATGTCTGTTCTGTCCCCGATCCCGTGTCCCTTTGTTTCCACTTCATCTCCTTTGCTGCTGCTCTTGTCCCAGGGTGCCATTCGCACCAACCTCTCACTGCATAAGTGCTTTATCAGAGTAGAGGATGAGTTTGGGTCCTTTTGGACTGTTGATGATGAAGAGTTTAAACGTGGCCGTCATATTCAACGAGGCCGTCCTCGAAAATACTGCCCTGATGAAAACTTTGGCGAGCTTGTTGCACAGTAAGAGCTTTTACTTGCTTTAATTTTTTTTTCTGCTGTTGCTTTGCTTTGCATGATTTACCCATCTCATGTAGACTTGCATTTCACGAAATAGTGACATCACCTTTGCTGCTAAAGGAGCAAAAGTTTTAGTTGTTATGTGTGTATTTTGTGTGTCCTACTCTGATAATCCAAATGCCTATAATAATAACTCTACTTTGACATGTTTGTTATAGCACTGGTTTATAGCGCTACGTAACCTTAAATAATGATCCACACTAATGCAGATATGCTGCTGTAGATCTGTCAGGAAGACAGATATATGCCAGGAGGGGCTTCAGATAAGTTTGAATTCTGATATTTCCCTTTGCTTTCAATTGTATGCCTGGGTTTGCAACACTATAATGGATTAACATTAAAAAGAAAAGGAGAGCAGTGAGACCATCTGTAACGATTACAAACAGCAGTGCATCCTGTGCCTGCAACAACCACACACAAATATTCCTGGGGTTCCCGAAGCAATTTTGTTTGACCTTTCCTTGAAGGCCATCTCTCCAGGACAGCTGATCCTTGCCGGTCCCTGTGGGAGAGGCTCTGTTATGACTTCTCTCACCATGCCTTACTCTCATATGAAAAAAAGAAAAAAGCCCAATAAGCATAAAACTTACTGGAGATGTTTTGTACTGGCACTTAGTAGGTTTTTCCCTACTTCCCTATTTTTAATGCCCACTGAAGAGTGGATAAGCTTGCAATACATTTTGCTCAAATCCACCTCCTTATTTAAACTTAAGATGACTAAAGCAAGAGTCTGAGATAGCACATCAGAACTGTTATTAGAATGGCCCTTAGGGCAGTGTGCTCCCCACCACTTGGCTGCAGAGCAGCAGGACCAGCTGGTTTGCCTCCGTGCCACCTTTCCTCTTTCCCCATGTCCCAAACTGTTTGGGGCAGGAGTGCGGGCAGTGCCATCCCTTTCCCCATCAGGAAATAATGTGGCTCAAAATCCACTCTTGTCAAGGTCCCCCATTGAGTTGCAAGGGATTCTGCTGCCAGTGACTTTGAGAACCATGTGCCGTGCACAGTATTTAAGTATTCCATGCTGCTTTTGGTCGTACCTCCTTACGATGGGCCCTTACGTGGTAACTGGCTCCCAGAAACGCTGAATATTGCAAAATTTCTCCTGAACGCACTAAAATGAGCAGAGATCCCGAGATGTGCTACTGACACAGGGTAGCAGAGCACATGGTGAGGTAACGTCACAGTATGATGATATTCCTTATTTAGTAAAGGCAAATATGTTAACTGTAGGCAAAAAACTCTGATATTTTCTTTAAAGAAAAAGGGAAATGAAAGAGAACTTGTGTGGAAAAACAGTCTGAGCACTAGTTTTCTGGTGTGGGAGGAAGCGTTACATGCTTGAAATGTTCGCATTGAGGTTGGTTGCATTTAACTCTCCTTTTTATGTTTTTCTTATGCAGTAACCCTTCTCTTATTAAAAACATACAGACCAGCCACACCTACTGCACACCTCTCAATGCTGCTTTACAGGTAAGATTAATGACTGTAGCAAATATGCAACAGAGGCGTGTGTCTTCCCCACTCATTTCAAAATATATTAGCCTTGCTCTAATTAGATATTAAATTTTAATTCCGTTAAACTTTTTTCTTAAGTGCATAAAGCATCATAGTCCCTGGAGGCAAACACATATCAGGCTGCTTCAGCATTAGCTAGATGCTTAGCATTTTGAATATTGTGGCAAAAAAATTAAAAGTTCACTTATTAATATTTATCAGCAGTATCATAATTTCCATCCTCTTATTTCAGAATTTCACTTGAGGCAAAAATACCACAAGTGTAATTACTCTAGCACAGCTATTAATGTGCTGAATGATAGGATACTGTGCCACGTGACCTTCTATTGTTCATGGTTTTAAAGAGAAAGCAGATCATTTTTCCCCCTTTTCTTTTAAGGGCTATTTTTGCATATCTTCCTGTTGTTGTTAAAAAAAATAAAAATAAAAAAAAAAATGTTGCAATTCCTATAGAAAAAAAAAATGGGAATTTGTGTTGGTTTCAACAACTGTAAGACAAAAATGTTGTTTTTCACAGTGTAGAAATGCACTTAGTGTTTGGTGCACTGTTAATAACCGGCACCCCGAAGGCGTGCGCTTCTCCAGACCCTTTTTCATGTACTGTTGATGAGGTTTGCTTTTTTTTTTTTTGTCTCTACAAATTCTCGAGTCCATCTCAACAACCTCAGGTAATGTCAGGACTCAGCGACTGAACCAGAGGCACAGACACGTTACTGTGCCTTGGATTTGCAGGCTGTTGTGTTTGTGCTGCAGTCCAACCCCCATCCATACCATGGAAATGCAGCCAGGATGCAGCACCGCCTGTAGTTGCGTCCCCTCTGTGTGTGTGTTGAGGGTCACTTCTCCAGCAGCTCACTGGTGGCCATGGATGTTTGCTTGGGCCGCTGCCTTCTGTAGAAGCTTTAGCAGGCTTCTCTTTTCCAAACCAGGAAGCAGATTATTAGGAGAAAAGTGATGTTCTGCGTTTCTTCTCGCGATCGGAGTTTATGCAGTAACTTCTGAAAAGCAAATGAAGGCATGTTTAAATGAAGCAACTGTAAATACCATTCATTAGTAACTTATTTTCCCTTGAGTCTTGTGAAGTGTGATTTTTAAAGACCGCTTTGTCTCTTGAATAGTATTAAGATTACAAGCACATTTTACATTCATGAGGCTGAAAGGCAAAAAATGAAATGATCCTGCATTTCTTCACGTTGTTAACTATGTGACTAATTTCAATTAATATGCTTATCATACGGAACTGTTCATGTTTTATTTCTCAAACACGTGTCATTGTCGTCATCTCCATCCATTCTTCTGTGATAAACCTCCAAACTGCCTCCCTTCCCCACCTTCCCTGGCAGAGGCACGTGCCCGTGGCCTCACATAGCATGGTAGGAACTCGACTCACGGAGAGAAGAGCCTGGGCCATGTTTCTTCCTGCTTGCATGTCCCCTATAAAAAAAAAAAAATAAGCAGGGATGAGAAATCATGCTATTCATTGCACTCAGACAGATCCTCCTTTGGGTTTTAAACAGATCAGTGGGTTCCTCTCTACTGGGTATACCGGGAAACTGGATCCCCTGGGATGCTTGCGGTACAGGGCATCTTGAGCAGAGCTGCATCATGGGACCTCAGTGCACACTGACCTCCTGCTGCAGCCGCCTTCCCATATGTTTCTTTCTTTCCCTGTGGGGCGGCAGAACCACCCCTCTGACATCTCCTCCATCTGCTTTCCCTCACGGCTGTGCAAGGCAGGGGCACACAGCTCTCACCAGCACTGCCTTTTCCCAGCGGGTTGTCGAGAGCTTTTGTGCTCCCCAAACCACCCCCTCACCACTGTGATCATAGCATGTACTCCTCGTGTCCCACCTCTCCCCCAAGAAACTGCTTTACTGCAATTACAAGTTGTCTTCACTGTTGGTGAAGAACTTAAGTCATTATTTTGCCAAGTGCAGGAAATGTGAACCATTCTTTGCATCCCCTCATCACAATGAGTTTGCCGGTTGTTGAATCAAGAAGATAAAAATAATCCTCCCTGTTAGAATAGCTTTTGTAATCATGTGTGACACATAGGGCTGCACATGGAGAGGTCAACGTAAGGAGGAATAAAAGGGGCCGTGCCCCCAAAGATGCTGCAGGCAGAGCTGGCCATCCCTCAGCCTCCGTGTATGGGCACAGCTCTACTGGCCTGAATGGTGGTGAGCATGGAGCTTGGTCCCATGAATTAGGAGAGGAGGTCAATGTTCAGTGGGGAGAGTGTGTGAATCCCCTCCCGTGGGCAGGTTTGCATCAAGCAGACCCGCAGTCAGATGGATTTTTTGACTGCAGCCAGCTGACCTCCCCCCAGCATGGGTTGAGCACAGCCGAGCCAGCATCTGTGGTCCTGGTGCTGACGCTGTCAGAAGGCAGCAGATGATGTTATCTGGACGTGGCTCGGTGAAGTGGTGAAATGTCCTTTGAGTTCCCTCAGCACCACAACCCCTAAGGCCTGCTGCCCTCCCCACACACACGGCCCCGCATAGCGCTGGGCTCCTTGGGGCTCCCGCAGTGCCTGGCTGGGCATGGGGCTGTGCTGCCAGCATGAGCTAATCCTGACATACAGTAAATATTAGCAGGCAGAGCGGTGGGAATCAGAAGGAAAATATTTAACAGTTCATTCTCTTTGTACAAAGATTTCCATTTAGAAAGTGAACTGCGGTGTGCCTCTGTCTGGTGTTTCTTTAGAAGGGTGAAAAACCTCAGCGAAACGGTCACATCTGCAGTAGCGGGGTGGAAAGCTGGGTTGTTGATGCTTAGAAAGAGTGGGGGAAGATTTGTCAGAATTCATCAGATTCCCACTTTTCCAGTGACAGGGCAGGACTGACAATTTCACATGGACTGGTTCGGCTCTCGGGTACATCAGTGCAGGCTGCACAAGAAAATCAGGCTCGGTAGCGTTGTCATCCTGCTGTGTGCCTGCCTGTGCTGGTAGGAAGGAGTTACCAGCCGAGCGAGTTCCAATTTTTTTCCTCATTAACCTTCATTAAAAACAAAGCCAAAAGCCAGACCTAAGCCACCAAAGAAAAAAAAAAAAAAGAGCCAACCCAAAGCCCCAATCATAATTTTGTGAAATGAAAATAGGAAAAGCACATTTTATTTTTCCAGGAGGTGTAATTCCAAACAGGGAATGGAAAGCTCCATTTCCACTCACAAGCCAGTGCAGCTATGAATGCATAAACCCAGATGTAAATTATGTTAAATTTCCCTTGGTGGAATCAGTGTAATACCTATCAGAAAGCACAATATTTAAAAAACTGGTAATTGCGAATAATGTAAATGTGGAGAATGTTTTGGAATAAGTGAGCGTGTTGTGCAGTGCATAAGAACGTTAGTCATGGCTCTTCATATGTTTGTTTGTGTCCTTGGCAGGCTTCAATGGCTGAGAACAGTATACCTCTATACACTACTGCTTCCATGGGAAATCCCACTCTGGGCAACCTAGCCAACGTGATGAGGGAAGAGCTTAATGGTGCAATGGAGCATACGAACAGTAATGGGAGTGACAGTAGTCCAGGACGTTCCCCTATGCAAGCAATGTGAGTATGGCAGAGCCGCACGCGCCGGTGGAGGCGTTGTCTTATCTGCTGAAGTGTGGAGGTTCTTGGTGTGAGCAGCACAAGTCCGTCTGGGGAGGTGCTTTGGCTAAGGAGAACATAAAAGGGCCATTTACCAACTTTCACATAAAGGAATCAGCACAATCCAGTCTGACAAGCACATGGGACTGTAAAATTGTTAACTCATTTGTAATTCCCTTCTTTAAACCTTGGGCCGTGGGGTTGCTATACCTCTTAGGCAACTGCGTTTCTCAGAGGAAGGACTGGTGCTTCCCTCCCCTTCGGAGCACACAGCAAGCGTGCCCGTGGGGCCGGGCTGGGAAATGGGCCTGTTGGGCAGGTTTGACAAACACTTGATGCACAACAGTCTCGCTCAGCATTAATGATGGCACACGTGAAGGTCTGCATGATTTATAGATTGCTCTTAAAATATCAAAAGGAAAATTAATAGGAGCATTATAGCAACAGACGGCAGTATAATGAGTGCATATATAACCGCATGAAGTAATGGGGGATTGCTGTCCCTGCTCAACGTGAATGGCACCAGGGCAGCAGCTCGCGCAGGAAAGGGTAAGGCAGGAAGGGTGTGATGCCCCTATGGGTGTGCTCAGTATTTATGGGGTGATGGAGTGAGTTTGCAAAGCTGTAAATTCCCCCCTCCCCTCAGATTGCATACCGGATAATTGGCAGCTGGCAAGGGAGCCAGAGTTTATACGTCTTGCAGTTCTCAAATGTGAAAAAGTACCTCAACTACCTGTGCGAGTAGCTGTGCTCAGGAGCCCACTGCCATCCCGCTGCTGGTTCGTTAGAATGGGCCACAGAATTACTGGCTGCCTCGCCACAGCTCACATTACACATTAAAAAGAGAACTAATTTGTCGTCTTTCACTTCAAAGTAATTTGAATAAGGGATTTACAAAAGTAAGTCTAAATCAAAAAGTAGAAAACATTAACCTAATACCACTGTAGTAATTAGTTGTGAAACTAATTAGCATTTAATGGCAAAAAAAGTTTCCCACCTGCATAATGTGTTGTCAGAGGGGAGGGGGGCACGGAGGAATCTGAAGCTCTGGGTGCTTTGATATCGCAGCATTTTAAATCAGCGCACAATGTGCTTTGAAAAAAAACATCTTTAAAGATGGCAACATTCATTTTTAATTAATAATTAATTTTAAACATTGTCTTTTACCATTTACTTCAAAACATTCAAATCATCTGTTTAGCTTTTCCAGTGGTTGTTTGTGCAGTATTAATTATCTCTCCCAAAGTCGCATTACGTGACATGCTTCCCGTCGATCAGAAGCAGATTCATCTTGAGGCACTTTGAGTCACAGTTTGTTATCCTCTGCCCGTGACCACGCAGGGCCGGAGTGGAGGAGGAGCACAGGGACATGGGTTTTCTCCAGAAATGAGGCTTCTCCCAAGGGTTTCTCCTGGCCTAACAGACAGGGACAAATGTTTCTGATGTTGCGTTAATCCAAGTAATTATTTTTTGTGAGTTCAAGGCTAGCGAAGTTCGTGCACTTCTCGTTCCACCTAAGGTTTCGTTGTCTTTGAAGAGACTGTGAGGGGGGGAAGTAACCGAGTTGAAGCAGGCTAGGACATTTTCCAGAACTGTGCACAGCCGTGGCCTTTGTTGCACTTAATAATCATCTCTTAGCACATTGATACCAAGGTGAGGGGCACCGAACAAATACTGGAGAGAGAGGAGGAGGGGGGGGAGGGATGCCTCATTTTCATTATTCACCAGAAAATCCAATTTTCTGTTGTAATATGGAAATGATTGTTTCCTGAGTGTTTTCATTTTCTCAGAATTGATAATATATGTGTTCTCTGCTGAACATTTCTTTTTGCTTAAGTAAAACGTGGCGAGGTGATGTTCCAATCCCAGTCTGTGAGCTTGCCCATTAAAATGGTGTTTCTAAGTAGTAGGAAGGGATCTAAAGCCAGAACACCATTCAAATGCCTCAAGTTTGCCCTGTTTAGTAAATAAAATCCAGAGTCAACAGGGGATTTCCAGAAGCTGTGCAACCCCTGACTGTCAGTGAGCGTGCTTTGGTAGCGACGTTTCCAGTCTTTTTCTCGGTGCAGATTGCCTTGTCCCAATGCAAATGATTTTTTAAACAATTTCAGTATATTAAAATAAATCAAGCTTTAAACTTTATTGTAAGGTTTAGAGGACCTTGTTAACATGACAGCTAAGAAGTCTAACACTTTAGCTGAAGTCTTATTACCACTCATTCGTTTCCTTTTTATGACACATTGAACCACAGCTAGGTTGTGTTTTTTTTTTTCCCCTCTCCCTCCTTTTGAAACACTAGAAAGTAGTCGCATAATTACAGCTTGGGGACATAACACTTTCATCCTGATATGCTCCAAAGGTAGCCACAAAGCAAACTACTCCATGCTGTGTGCACCACCAGAACTCAGTGGCTTTAAACAACAGTCAGCTTTATTAAAAACTCCTCTGTTCCCAGAGTGGACAAACAAAAGAATTACTCAGATGTGAAAAGAAGGGGAATCAGTGTTCAGCAAGGTTATTTATTGTTAACCCCTTCTGGAGTCTTAGGCATCTACTTAAAAGGAATGGGCTGAAATGCTGCTGATACAAAAAAGAAATAGGAAACCCTTTCTTTTTTTATTTTTCTTTCTTTTCCCTCCTTTCTTGTTTTTTTGGGGGGGTTTTTTGGTTGTTTTTTGCCTAGCCCAGCATTTACCTTTTTTGTAGTTTAGAGGTAATAGTTTCTCTTCCCCCCCTAGTAAGGAGGTGGTAAATAGAGATTCAGACATACTTGAAAGATGTGAAAATCTCCCTTTGCCTTTGAGCTTACTTTAACAGAATGTTGTCAAGTTGCTCTGAAACGTTTGAGCAAAATCCTGGATTCGATCAGGTCTCTTCCTCGCATGCCACTTTGTGGTTACAACTGACAGAGGACGCAAGGAGATGAATTATTTTTGTATTCCATGCAAATCCCTCCCAGGGGGGTTGCATTACCCCGATCACCCTCTTAATTTGGGGGATGGAATCCTTCCAGGCTCACTGTCTGATGTCTGTCCAACACGTGAGCCCTGGAGGAGGACATTGTGGCCGTGCCCCATGGCTTTGTGGGCCCCTCTGCCTTGTCTCGCTCAGGGTCGAGCAGCATAAGTTCTTTGCTCACTTTGCTTTTCAGTCCTTAAGTTTTGCTTTTGACTTCTGGGAGCCGAACCAAACCTCAAAGAAAAACTCAGTTAGAACCACCTGGTTTCACCTGCTTTCATAACAAAACCAGACGGTGGTCAGAGTTTGCTGTGGAAAGGTTCAGAGGCCTTTCAAGGAGCTTTCACAGAATTTCGGGTTCTTGTGAGCACAGCAGTCACCGGCCATATCTGGTGGTGCCCATTTGTTCCTACCCAGCAGGTGGGAGGTTGTGATGGGAGACCAAGATATGGCCCCTGTGTCCATTGTAAGAAACGCATTCTGCTCTTACCTTGGAAAATGTTTGGTCTGCATTTCCAAAAATAATAATTAAAAAGCAAAAACAAGCATGGCAGTAACATCAATACCAGAAGGGCAGCAAACATGACCTAAATTAAAACAGCAGTAAAAGAGGTCCCTGCCATAAAGGCCGAGTAGCGCTCACTTCATCCGTCTGTGCGCATCGCCATTCTTTCCCTATTTCTCCTGTTTTTCATTCCCCTTTTTCTCCCAAGCGAGGGCCCCACAGGCCATTCATAATGGAAGTTTTTCTAGTTGCAGCTAATCAGCATGGTTTCACGTTTGTGCAGCCATGAGCTGCTGGGACACTCAGCACTTGTCCACCTTGGCAACTGCAAGCAAGGTGCTGTATGTGCAGCACTGGTAGCTCTTCCTGCTCTTAGCCCCCAAGACTGGAATTGTCTCTTCCTCCTCTTTTTTTCCCCTTCTTTTTCTGAAAATGGCAGAAGACCTGGTGATAGAATACGTATTTGTAAACTGGAAGGAAGAAGGTATGTGTGCACAGATGCAGTAGCAACCCTTCTTTTGGTTGGGTGGGCAGGAAGGTGCAGTTAATACCTAAGTATTGACCTAGCCCTTTCAGCACTCAGGAAGTTGAAATATGCAGGGACTTGAAAGACATTCACATCTCACATTAGAGATACGTGTAGTCAGCAAGTTAGATCCGTCCCCAACTGAATTAAATAAATAGGGTGCTTTGAGCTTTGAGCACAGTACAGACAAACAGCTGGTTCTCTCTGGTCTCCTGAAACAGGCAGAGTTACCTTTGGCTTGTGTGCTAGGTGCAGAGTACATTTCCCTGTTCCACGATTTATTCTTCCTGCCTGTCCGTGCAGCCGAGTACAGAAAGTACTGCCATTCTATCTACACAAAGCATGCAATAAAATACAGCTATTTTAAATCATTTTAAGGCAGAGCGTGCAAGGAAGGAAAAGTTCTTACAGGGGGTGTTTGCACTCAGATGTTTTCAAGTAGTCGACTTGTGAAAGGGTTAAATTAGCCTGCCTGGAAAAAAAAAGAACAGGACTCTAGGAGGTGGATATCAACTCAATGAGAGACAGAGTGGGACTTGAACTCATTAACACTTTATTTTAAGGGATTGCCTACAACATCAATTATTTAGGAAGCAAACAGGGTCTCCATTGCTGTGTCGCATTATTAATACTTGGTAATGTCAATAAAATCCTACTTTCCTATAAAGTCCCACCAACAAGACACTATTGACTCACATGGCTATTTTACATTTCAAAAGCTGCCGAACACAAAAAGAAAAGGTAATTTGTATTTGTATAGGATTTGTTGTAAATATGATTTACGAACAACATTTTTCAATTGTTATCATACCCGTTTTGAATGACCAAGCCCCGCTCCCCTGCGGGTTATTCATGTGCTGTGCCATAATGAGAAATTTGGCAGATCTCATCTCTTTAGTACATCCTTGTGCCCACCGTGAGCTAGGGATCATGTTCTGCCTTGTTTACAGCTGACAGTGTTATTATTCTCGTTAGGACTGTGCTTTCTTATCATATTGTTGTGTTGAGCGAGCCTTTTCCTCTCTGTTTGTGTTTCCTGGCAGGGCTTTTCTTCCCTTATTGACAGTTTGTAAAAATATGCATTAATTTGGAGTTTAAAGCATGTATCATGGTGTCTCTTTGCTGTGTTTGCTTGAAGTTGATTAATGATAGAACCTCACTTGGGGTCGTCCTCTGGAGAGTTGTCTCACAGGTTCTGCATGTTAACGAGCGACGCCGCACACACAGTGCAGTGATTAGCCCAACCTCCGCTGGCTTGGCGGGCCGGCAGCCCGCTCCTTTGCTTTTCGGGTGCTTATTCCACTTATTTATCCAAAGGTTGTATTCATCAACTTAACGTGTCAGCTGAGAGCACTTTCTCTCGATGCCGAGACTGAAGGCCCATCGAGGTGCTCCTCCCGTTTCCCCCGGGAGGCCGAGCGGCGGAGCGCAGCCTTCACAGCCCGGCTGCACGTTCAGGCTCTGCTCCTCAGCGCCCTGCAGCTCCGAGGGCCCAAGCCGCCCCGCGTTGCTGCCCAGCCCCCCGAGCTGTCAGAGCCGTGTTGGAGCGAGCAGCTCGCTGAGTGACCGTGTTTTTGTTTTTCCAGGCACCCCGTGCATGTCAAAGAAGAACCGCTAGATCCAGATGAAAATGAAGGCCCGCTCTCCTTAGTGACAACAGCCAACCACAGTCCAGATTTTGATCACGACAGAGATTATGAAGACGAACCTGTAAATGAGGACATAGAATGAGTATGTCTGACGTCATCATCCTGAGAATGAAGATGGGAAGAACACGTCAAACCTAGCTGTGAAATCTCTCCATTGTTGTACAGTCTGGAGGATTCTCAGTCCGCTTTGACAACTATGAAATATGTTAACTCTTAGTGCCATCAAGTATCCCATTTGGGAGTATTTTTGATTTTTCTACTTTTTGTTGAAAAAAGGAATTTGTACTCTGTGCATTGGATGGACTTGTTTGGTACTTGGGATTTTCCTCTCTTACAGTCAACGTCAGTGTTGTAAATTTGCTAAACTGATTCACTTACATTTAGCAGCCAACTGTGGACTGCAGGTCCTGCCAATTTTGGACACTTGAGGACATCAAACTGAGCATGTACACCAGAACTGCAGATCAAGTCTTTGCCCAGATTTTAAGGATTCCAATGGACAACATATTTGCACAGTACTGCATGTTGATTATCACTGCCTTTACTCCATTTTGTTGTTTTTCGGGTTTTTTTGTTTTGTTTTGTTTTTTGTTTTGCTTCCATTTGGGATGGGGAAGGCCTGTGTGTGCACGTGTGTGGATATGTGTGTGTGCGTGTGAGCGTGTCTATCGGGGAGGGGTTAAAAAGAAAAAATTATCCCAAACTTTTTAATGTATTGCTTTTATTCCCCCGCCCCACTTCTCCTCTACCATTTTAAGTTCTGACCTCAGGCCTCATCTGGGCCCAGGGCCTCTCGGAGGCTTCAACGTTTTCTGTACTTTGTGATGAATGTTAATAGGTGTTTTTATTATACAAAGCTGAATGTCATTGAATTGTTTGTAGTTTTTTCTGTCATTCATTCCAGTTTCCTTCAGATGCCACCATGTTTTCTTTAGCTGTGGAAAACATTCCATTTTGGTGTCTCTATTTTTGTTGTTGTTTTTTGAAGAGGTCCCAAATGCTGCACTATACATGTGGAAGGGTTGTCCAACGGAGAGAGAGAAACGAAGTACTGCAAGAATGAGAATGAATGGCAGATGAACATAGAAACACTGTAGGAAGCAACACAGATTCATTCCGCAAAGCAGTATTTTTTTGTTGTTGTCGTTTTGGGTTGGTTTTTATTTTGAGATTTCTTTTTTGGCAGCAATGGTGAATATTAGCAAATGCCACAAAATGGAACAGCACAAAGAAATGTATGCAGCACCAACAGAATTCACTTTTATTAGAGGATGGATAGTACAGTGGCAGGCTCTCGGTTGTTTAACACGAGTTTTAATGGGTCAACAAATCTTTCTGGAATATCTAAGATTACTGAGATGGGCACCTATACATTTATTATGACTTTTTTTTTTCTTTTTGCATTTGCATTGGCAAATAGTGGTTGGAAAGATGACTTCATTAAATTGTTATTGTACGTGGCGATGTTTCACGGTTAAACATCAGTTCAGGATTGCTTGGTGGCATTAATCTGTTTGAATACAAATTAGATTTCAGATTGAACTTGTTACGGGAGTTAATAAGGACAGAGCCCCACTAATGCTGAAGTGTTAATTTCAACTGTGCAAATCCAGTACTGCGGTTACGATTGTTATGCAATATTACACCAGCCAGTATGGAAACCTCACCGTAGGAAACGGGAAATACAGGAGAGAATTCGCACCGGGGCTTTTTAGGCACGACTGGCGATGCTCTTCAAGGCAAACATGATATGCAGAATTTGTTGCTATAGGTCAGTAAACCTTGGTCACCAAACACCTAAACGTTTTCGTTCTGCAACCACTTTTCCGTCACTCATTTATTTATGTAGGACTGTAGCTTTTTTATTATTTCAAAAAGCCTTTCAGAGCTTAATTTATATTCTTCTTTGTACCTTTTTTTTTTTTTTTTTTCCTAAAATTACCAAAGATATTACACAAAGGTAAATTATGTTCTCTGTTATATGCTTTATCTTGTGAAGCCAAATATCCTCTTATTGTTGATCAAAGGAGGTTGAAGAATTTAGAGGGAAATGACAAGCTGTGGGCTATTGCTAACCTGAGAGGGAAACTGCTCCTTTATTCTAGAACATTTAGAAGGCCAAGTAGATGTCTGAACCAAAGTTGTTACTTTTTATTTGTAGTTCTTTACAGTGACCAAAATGAAATTCTGTAAAGAGGAAGGGAGGAGAGCTTTTGAGGCTAAAACCAGGAAACAGTGTTACTGGGGACGCTAGGGATGGGAGCTGAGAAAGCGAAGATGCAGTTATTTTGCAGAGAATTAGAGTATCAGATAAAGGAGACAGTTTAATAAAATGCAGAAGAGAACAGAAAAGCTCCCACAATTTAACTGGACCACATAATAGTATTTCTAGTTTTGAAAAGAAAAAATAATAATAATAACTAATTTGGTCTTTGGTTCTACAGATTGTGTGCCACTTCTGTTTCGGGATCGTGCTAGGATGACTGCTTTCATTTTGGTTGATCTTGGCAAATTTGCTCAGTTTTGTTTAGTTTTCGGTCAGCATTTTTCATAAAGAAAGAACACTCCTGTCCACTCATAAGCTTTGGTACAAGAAATTTTATTGGCAGTTACTTTTATAAAACTCAGCTCTGCTTTCTGTTAGGAAAAAAGAAAAAGGAAAAAAAAAAAAAAAAAAGAAAAAAAAAAGAGAGAGAAATGGGGGGAAAAAAAAAAAACAAAAGAAAAGAAAAGAAAAAAAAAAAAGGGCAGTCTGTGGTCATTTGAAACATTTATTTTTCTTTAAATTATCTCCAGGCAGCTTCGTGCCGTGCCGGCGGTAGCCAGACAGGGATGGCGAGAATTGAGCCCTGTCCTTCTAAACTGAGTGGTTTGCTGGTTAGTTGGGTATTCAGAAGGGGACAAAAATCCGGTAGATTAGTTCATTCTCAGCATGTGTAGCTAGACATGAGTAAAGATAACAGCATGAGAAACTGTTAGTACGCATACCTCAGTCCGAACTGTTAGGGAATGAGTAAATAAAAAATACATTTCACTCAGTTGCACTTAGTTGTATGTCTTGCATGCTTAGTCTAAAGACTGTAGCAAAAATATTAAAAAAAAAAAAAAAATAAAAAAAAAATAAGAAAAAAAAAAAGGAATAAAAAATTAGATTTTAACCTATCTGGCAGGTGTCGCAGCCTTGCAGAAGAACCAACTGAAAATCTCAGGCTTTACATCGAGCAAACTTCACTATGATTTTTACAGTTCCGATTCTGTATCCCTTTGGATATACGGTTGCTTCTTTAGGGAGGGGTTTCCTATGTTGTACATATATATCCCACTGTGTCTGTGTGAGCCTTTGTCTTGGGGGGTGGGGAGGGTGGAAAAGGTGGCGAGGTCCTTTTTTTTTTAGATACTGTTCCTCAAAAGGAATAAATGCAGACCTGTTTGTCAAAACACCTTTTGCTTTTTGTGCAACTGCTTTATATTAACTATACTAAAAAAAAAATAGCTTTGAAAAAAAAAAAAACTACTGTATGTAATGGAATTGCAGAATACGCTGCACATGTATTTTATTTAGTTATCCTTGCTTTAAGAATATTGGATGACATTTGCTGACATGTGGGAGAAAATCCCTGACTTTTTTTTTTTTTCCAGCTTTTAAATTGTAACATAGTTGACAGATTTTGTTTTTTTTTTTCCTCTCTCTTGTTATCATGGATCGAAGCATTTTTGTACAGTTTTTGTGTTGAAGCTGTTTTTTGGTTTATTTCGTTTTGGGTTTGTTTGTTTTGATACTTTCCCACCCCTTCTGTTATCTTACCACTGCCTTTTCTGGCTGTCTCCAACAAAGTTCATATATTTGAAAGGTTAAAAAAAAAAAAAAAAAATTATAAAAAAAAAAAAAAAAAAAAAAAAAAAAAAAAAGAAAAAAAAAGTTTTTCTCCTGCTGCAGTAAATATTTTGCATGATGAGTTCCAGGGTCACACTTTCAAAGTTTATCAGTGAAGTAGTGATGAATAACGGGGGAGTGTCAAACTATTGAACTTTTTGTATAAAAACAAACAAAAAACTTTACAAGGTGCCAAGATGTAAAGACAATTTGTTACATGTTTTTTTTCTCAAAGAAAAGCGTACATTATGAAAGTAGTACCATGTATCAGGTAAATCGCTGTCAGGAATGAGAGTCAAAGCCTTCCTTGTCCACAAAACCAAGTTTGTAAATGTAAAACCTGTTAGGTTTCTGCATTCGACTAGAAGTGAAATGAAAAAAAATCAAGGCTTATGTAGAGTAAGTGACCACAAAAGAGGACCTTTTTTTGATTCTCACTCGCAAGAGTCCGGCAAGAGTTCCTGGAATGCCCCAATTCTGGAGCCCCGACTTCAGGGAGAGACCGGGGCGGGGGTTCTCATCCTACAAATATTGCAGATCATTAGATATTTTATATATATACATACATAAATATATATATATATAAAGTTTTTAAAAATAATTTTGAACTATTGTAGTTTTCAGATTGCCAATATTCTCACGCTCATTATAGCATGGAAAAAAAAAAAGAAAAAAAAAAAGAAAAAAAAAAAGCGTTTAAACTCTTTTGAAATCCTTTGGTACCTTTTGTTAACGAACTCAGATTGAGTTTTTAGATGTTTCAGAAGCAATTTAGTATTCTAGTCTTGCGAGGTGAACTTGCAGTCATGACTGCATTTTAACGGACCCAGAACAGGTAACCAACTATCTTCTACCCATAAGCCTTGATGAAAATGGTACAGTCCAGACTGTTAGCATGGTGCTTCGTGTGTATGTGCTGCCAGTAACAAGATTTTTTTTTTTTTCTTTTGATAAGGCATAAAAGAAACTCATTCCTTACATCAACTGTAATTCCATCATTCCATGTCTGTTGATACAGACAATAAAAAATGTTGTGTAGTCAGTACTAATTACTGACATTATAGCATTCTCAAATGCAATAAAAATGCTGGTTGTTCACACTGGTAATGCAAGTTGCCATGTCCTAAGTTTTTTTTTGTTTTGGTTTTGGTTTGTTTCTCCTCCCTCCCGGCTCCGTGTCACATCCCCAGCAGCCCCACAGCAGACCCTATGGAGGCCTGCTCGCCCCTCACCCTGTCCCTGCCCATCCAACACGCAGTCCATCGCACCCCTGGGGCCTTCCCAACCACGCTGAGTTGCAAGCTTTTAGCTGCAGATTCCTGGCTGGACAGGGAGCTCGTTCAGGCCTTGAGCGCTGGATCTGAGGAGGATGCCGTCATCTGCAAGAATTCATCTGCTATCCAAGCAAGTCCATCGGAGTTTGCCTGTTTGGTTCCTGGGCAGCTGGGGGTATTTGCCTTCTCAATGGGCTCAACTTCAAAGGTGGAAGCGCGAAAAAAGGGTTTGGGTCCTAATCTTGCAAATCCTCCCCAGTGCAGTTCCTTAATGGGAGCTGGACTGGACTGTTCCTCCTGGCTTCAGCAGGAAGGGCTTGGCAGGTGCTGTATGTACACAGAACGGGCTGCAAGATGGATCTCAGTCCACACCACCACGAGAACAACGTTCCGAGTTATGCTGTCACCTGAGACAAACTTGGAGAGGAAAAAACCCACCTTTTTTTTTTTTTTTTTTTTTTTGAAGTACACTTTTATTTTCTTCGTCAAGTTTTATAAAGAAAAATAAAATGTTTAATAACTAGCATTAGCAGTAAACCAGAATTTCAGAGGAGGGATTTTTTCATGAATAATTCATTAAAATTTCACATCTGCAAGATTAGTCATCCAAATAAAATGCTAATGTCAAAAACATGCACCGTCTATAATATTCTCATCAAGAAATCTTTTTGCATATAATGATAAATGCTTAAATTAGTACAAATGATTTTATAAAAATATTCTATCATAAAATTATACCAGATAACTGCTTTTTTTTTTTTTTTTTTTTCTTGAGGGGGGAGGGGGAAAATCTTGCACACTCATTACAACATGTCTCAAAATTGTATTGATGGGTGGATTTTGCTAATGAAAAATGCAAAGGATAGGATTTGAGTTAGGTCACGTATCGCTCTTTTATCACCAGCGAAGTTTTAGTACATGGGAGAGGTCTTGCTTTTGTAGTTGAGAAAACATTCCTACGTCACTGGCAGAAGAGTGTTTATTTTGGAAGGAGTGCTCTGTGTCTCCAAAGCACGGGTGGTGGGGTCAGCTCCAGGTAGAGGAACATGGCCTGGGGGGATCTCAGCCCCTTGGATGAGGATGCTTGTCCCCATAGGGGTCACCCTGGTTTTGCACAGACCAGGAGGGGATCCAGCCTGAAGACAGCCATGGCCTAGCACGGGAGCTGGAGGCCCAGCACAGCATGGTGCTCGCTGTGCTTTGCGATACAGCTGCTGATGAGCTGCATAACGCCCTCTGACCTGGGCTGTGATGGCAAAGGACGGCAGGTTTCACAGCAGTGGCCTGATGGAAGGAACAACCAACTGTTGGTGCTGTTCACTCCCACAGAGACGCGCCCTGCAGCACAACAAACTCTAATTAGCCCTTTTAACCTAGTAAACAGGCTGCGGCCCCAGTGATGATGTTAAACGTTGGTTTAATAGCGAGTTAGTCGGGTCATTGCCCAAATTCCTTGCAGAGGAGGTGAGCTCTGCCCTTCACCCAACTGCCATGATGGTGGCGGTGACAACTTCATGGCCAGTACTGCCACTGTGACTGGTGATGTCCCCTTCGTGCCATACACGTGTCCCTGCTCACCCTGTAACTCTTTGTCCCCATCTGCCATTACACCTGGTAGAGGCCCTCTCCCTGCCCCATTTTATCGGCTCCATTAGGCAGCTGCAAAGCACGTGGGCTGGAAACAGTCAACAGCATTGCGCAGAGTGTTTAACCCAAAACAGCCCTACCTCCAATCTTACTCAACAGGGAATTCCTCTATCTGGAAAAAGAGAAATGGAAACACCACCCCTGTGGCTGGAGCTGCATCTTCATTTGTTTGGAAGCCCTCAGCAGCCATTTTTGATGCATCTCAGAAGCCTAAAAAATATTGTTGTTTTTTTTTCCTTCAAGCAATAATGGTAATTTGAAGGTAACCGTCCTTTCAAGGATTAATTCCAGCCAAAGCAATAACCATTATTTACCAGAGTTTGACATTTTTATCACTCATCATATTAGCAAATTTCCATTGAAAATGCTAAAATGGTTCGTCATAAGGCACATAACTGCTTTGGCTGTAAAAATGACCAACACAAGTGCCTGTACTCAAACATTAAATTATACTGTAATTAATAAAGACAGTTAAACTGTCTACTAGCAACAGCAATTTAGGTAACCACATTTGATCGGCTATAAATTGTAACTACATTAAAATTCCAGAAATATTAGCAATATGGATTACTTGATGGAAATAGGTGCTGATCACCAACACTGCTATTTTACAACGGAAGCACAGGTCATGTTGGCCACAAAACCGTGGGCGAAGATCAAGGCTGAGTACTTTTAATCTTGTGAAACAAGCAATTACAAATAGTTGCATCGATTTGTTAAAAAGCTTTAGGTGACATAAATTGTTTCCTGTTTAGCTTATTGCTCTGATACATAAATGTCACCCAGTATAATATTAATTAGGGTCACAGAACAACAAGGGTCGGGTGATATAGTGTGCCATCACAGATGTGTCAATGCTTTGTGCAAGATGGGGAAGGTGAGAAAAGCTCCACTGCAGCGCCCAGCTCCTAATTTTACGCGATGACAAAGGAAAGTAAAGGAAACCGTGTTTTAATATGTGAAGTAATTACTTTAGTACCAGTATAATTTTACGGTTTAGGATAAATTACAATGTTTTCATTCTCGTGCTCTTGCCACATAACATAAAACTCCACATATAGCATCAATAAAATAGAATACTGTTTATAAAGTCTTTCTGCTGCACAAGACCAACACTATTTCTCCCAGCACATGGAAACTAAGCACACATTGCAGTCTGGTGTGTGTTTCTACACTTAATTTTTTTTTTAAACCCCAAAACGGGCTGTGCAGGTTATTTACTTAACATAAATCAAATGTATCATACACACTGTTTCTTTGGATTGGCATAGGACTTAGAAAAATACAGTAAGATTCTGAAAAATCTGGAGAAAATTTATTAAATATGATTTTTACTGTAATAGAATATTAATGTAACCCAATGCTCATTTCCCATTAAGTTGATCCCTTTTTAATACACACATGCTTTTTATTATTTTGCACTCATGCGAAAATTCCACATTCAGAGAGTTTCCATCTCCTTAGGAATGTCTCTGGCAAAGGCACAGTAAGAAATCTTGAACCGAGGAAAAAAAAAAACAAACCAGACAGCAAATATCGACCGATAAGATGTGGCAACGCGCTGATGAACTGAAGCAAAAGCCGATGATATAATAAAGGGTAAAAAGGCATTCAGCACTGCGAGGGGAACAGGAGAAACAATTACGCTCCAAATCCCTCCTTCTCGCTGCCACTGTACCACAGCACAGATGAAAATGTTTGATTTGCAACATAAAAGATTCATTAATTACCACTTGAATATTTAAAGCTATTTTGCAGACTAACAGAGGTAGATAAAGCACTGAATTAAAACCTCTAATAAAATTGTAAAAATATTTCTGCAAGTTTACCGGCTTTGCGATTCCTCCCGGTTTTGGGAGCCAGGCTTGGCGCGTTGCAGAATGGATTCTTTCTCTTTTTTTCAAGTGGGTATTTGAAGTACGATGGTGCAATTGCACTGCGCTATTTGTCTCTCGTTTCCAAATGTTTACCAGATACTTACTGGGAATCTCGCTCTTCACATGTGGTCGCCCTTTGTGGGAGAAGAAGCTGCTACAAAACAATACAGCGAGCGACGTGTGTGTTTGAGCCATACATTCATTTTAATACATTTCCATATACAGTAAAAACTCGTCTAGTCATAAGTCTGCCATAATACTCTCTCTGATATGAGATAGTTGTGCTTTGTGGAGGGAAAAAAAAAATATCTGTTAATCCTATTATAATTACCCTTGTTAGACTTAAAAAAAAAATAAAAAATAAAATTGGAGCAGTATCATTTTCTGCAAGGGTGGAGGGCTCAGCAGATCGCAGGAATGTGCATTGCAGAGAGCATCTCTTTAACTGCACAGCGCTCCCTGGATTTGTACCAGGGGGCCTGAGCAGTGAGCCTGGGGCTGAGGGAATCTCCTGTGTTACTGACTGCAAAGGATGTGCCATCCTTGTACACCCAAAAAGAATAATGCAAACTATATATATTTTGTATATATGTGTGTATTTGCACCACTTCTGCCTGTTGCCTACACGGTACTTCAGCTTAGCCTCAAAGCGCTGTGATCCCCACTTGCCAGTTGATATAGAATCATAGAACCATGAAGGTTGGAAAAGAGCTCTAAGATCATCCAGTCCTACCGCCCCCCTGCTACCAATATTGCCCACTAACCACGTCCCTTAGCACAGCAATCCTTGCCTTATGACCTCCAGGGACAGTGGCTCCTCGACCTCCCATTCCAGTGCCTGACCACTCTTTCAGAGAAGAAATTCTTCCTAATATCCAACCCAATCCTCCCCTGGCACAGTTTAAGGCCAATTGCTCTTGTCCTATACACTGAAGACCTCAACTTGACACTGAGCAATCACATTTATACCTCTTTGCATTCGGTTGACATTTGTTGTTGTTGTTTTATAAGTAACATTTCTATGAGCCACAACAGTGCAGTGAGGACTGCAGGAGGAGGGTTGAAAGCTGAAGTCGTAGCTCTTTCAACAGTATGTTAACAACCACGAGTAGAGCCAAAGTGTACGAATTTAATAAAAGAACAGTTACGGTTCTCTCTCATTGTCATTAATTTTATGCAGTTGGCCAAGGAAATGCAAAGAAAAATGTCCAGTTATGTTTGGATATTCCCTTTACACAACTGTTCCTGTTGTAATTACCAAGCGTCCAGTCCAATTAAATGGATGTTGAGAGTATTGCAGTGGCTCTGTGTGGGAGATGTGCACTTTCAGACGTTACTGTCGGCTAAGAGCGACCGACGAGGCACTGCAAAAGGAGCATGGCTATAGGCATCCTCAACCTGGGCTCCATCTTCACAGGCAAACAATAACATTCACCTTGCCAGAAAGAAAAGGGCGTTCTCACAGTAATTCAGGCCCTGTCCTTTTCTATTTATTTTTGTAAAGTTGATTTCAAATTTTCTTTTTGGACTATTCTCCTTAGTTCTTTTTAATTTGTGCTGAGCATGGTAAGAGCTGTTTGTACCACAGACCTCAACACAGAGCTGACTGGGTCCAGTGCGAGAACTTATGGCTCATTTACTGTGTGTGAAAATGGATTTCTCCTGGCAGTTTGTAAATATATGTGTATATACACCCAAATATGCTTTTTGTATGCTTTTTGATATGGAAGTGAAGTTATGCTATAGGAGCCCTGGTACTACTGCTTTCCTTGACACCCCATAGGAGGTGCATCATTAATTAATGGGAGATAAGAGCTGCCCTAAGTTGTCAATGGCTCGTACCCATCTTTACCTTAAATGCTGTGAGTAGGCCCCGAGTACTCCAATAGCAAACATGCACTCTTATCCATCATATTTTTGGCTTTGTTACCTTTGTAGGATGCAGGAAGGGAAAACTGTGTTCAGTGCCCATGATATCTATTGAAAACAAAAATACGAAAAATAAGAAGTAGAGCTTTTAATTATTTTGGCGAGTACCAGGGTTTAGTTTTAATTAAGTGCTCCGTTTATATATTTTTTTTTCCTGTTTCCTAGACATGCTGGACAGACTTGCACTGTATAGAATTGCACAGACAGAACTCTGGAGCACCTTCCAACACATGACGCTGGTGCCTCATGCTCACCCATGCCATTCTTAAATACTGCTACTCTGCTGCATGCTCACAGCTTCTCCCTGGCACCTTGTGCCATTTGGGGTGTTCTCACCTGTTTACCACACAACGAGTGCTGGCAAACTCAAAACAAAAACACCTGATAAAAATCAAATACTACACTGCTAACTGCAAAGTTCATTTCCCCTCAGAAGTCCTTCTTTAATTACAAAACCCGCATAACCCATTTCCTTTGGTGTGCAGAAAGGTGTGTAATTAAACTATCAGCATAATACCTTTCTACATGTAAAACCCGCACTTATGAACTTTAACTGCAGAATAAAAACTCCTATTACATGACCATTAAGTATTATGAATAAAGCAAGTCATTGTAGTACTTGATTAATTTTTATGCACTAAGCATTGTGTTCGGCACAAGTTTGGTTTCTGTCTTGCAGCCTCTGCCATCTTCTCCCCCCAGGGCTGTGCTCCATCCCTCCGTGATGCTCCTGGAAAGTCCCTCAGGCTCTGTGCTGCTTCTGTGGCCATCGTGGAGGAGAACAAGTCCATTTCTGTAACATCGCCATCGTGGTGTTGCTGGGGAACGGGGCGCAAGGTGAAGGTGGGGAAGACCAGGTCCCCTCTGCTCTGTGCATATCTCATCTCATCTCATCTCTGGGTAGGCTCTGAGGTTCTTCTCTGCTGGGGCCCTGATGTGCAAGGAGTTCCTTGGGAACTGCCTTGGGAATGGCATTCTGTATTCAGGGTTGTGAGCTCAGAGGAATCAATGGATGCTGATAAATTGGTTGTCAGTTTTTGACTAATAAGAGAAATCTGATTTGATCTTCTTTCACGCCAGTGTGGGAGAAAGTCATCCAAGGAGAACCCGTCCAGGTGCTCGTGCCTACTGCTTCACAAGAGCCCAGAAGCATTGCCTTATACGTGTTACCTACTGCATGGTCCTCCCAAGAACGTGCCTGCCATGCACCAGCACCTTGTCAAGTGATGTGGGAAGGCAAAAGTGAGTATCTCAGCTCAAACCCACAGTTTTGGAGTCTCAACAGGCAGTAAGACTGGGCTGTATGGTGCTCAGTGCTGGGTGGCCAATGGGATGTCTTCCACCCTGTGTGCAAACATTCAGGTCCCCAAGCCATCACTCATCAGCGCCTCACAGCCACGCTCCCATATGCTGTGTGATGATTACATTGAGGCTGATCTTTGATGTCTGGAATCAGGAAGTTTAGCTCAGCTATAATCAATAGCATTTCCAGCTCTTGGAAATCTGCACTCAGCACTCAAGGCAGCCAGTCTGCATTATGTCCTTGTCATATGTATATATTTGCATGTTCATTAGCTATGTAGTAGCACAGCTGTACGTGGTTTCATTTAGCTTTTAATTATCTTCTTTGGGTTGGTGTTTTCATCTCCAGCAGACTTAGGAGAAAAAAAAAAAAAAAGGAAAATCACTTAGGCAAAAGAAATGCTGCTGAGCAGGTCTGGGGCAAGGAGCACTGCTTCCTGGTGCATCCTACTGTTCCACCGCAAAAGAGATGTTTGGTTTGAAAGTTCCAGCAAATTAATAATAAATCTGTCTCTTCGTTTCCCCCCATCACATGCTTATCTTATTCAGGTGGTGAGGGAGTAATTTTTCATTTGAAGCAGGTGGTTGTTTACATAGTAGATAAACTCCATCCTTACAATCCTTGGCATGCATGTTTGTGTTTGCTCCAACAGCTGCTGCTCGCACACAGATCAAGGCATCCTCCTCTTTTGATGGAAATGACTCATACTCGGATGGGCTGAAACAGAAACACCATGCTCAGCTGCAGACACCTGCACTCGTGCACTGGCTTTAAAAGTTAGGATGTGGGTTTTAGCTAATTTTATTCTTTTTAGGTTCTTACACCACACCCTTTATTTTGGTTTCTGAGAAATTTCCATTAGCAAGAACAAAACAAGGTGACTAATATCTGTGCTGAACTTTCTTCTCCTTTCTTCCCAACCCCCCAAGCTCGGTGAGAAAGCTGAGATTTATTCCTTTTACTGTGATTACTGGTAATGAGTCCAGCATGACTGCTTTCTGCTTGGTTGGGTCTCAGGGCCAAAGTGGCAAGGGTGGTCTTGGGTCCATCCGAGGGGCTGGTTCTTGGCATTTCACTGCCTTTGGTATACTTTCCCTTTTTTGTCAATGGAATGGGGGTGCATTCGGTGCTGAGGAAATGAAGCTGAGCTTAACCTGAGCCAGTGTTGCCGATTTCTTCTTACACCAGTGGTTGGCAGAGGAAGAATTCCCGAGTGTCCACTGGGGAATTGGCACATGGCTGCCTGCAGCACATGGTGCCTTACCCAGGGGTAATTACGGCTCAGGAATGACGCTCCTCTGCACCAGCTCCTCACGCAGAGCCGGGGTGATGGCTGGAGCAGGCCTGGCCCTCTCTGCTCGCATTGCAGGAGCTCTCCTGTAGCAGGGAAATATATTTTTATCGTTTGCTTACCTTGACACTTCAAACATTTCCCCAGCAAGCTGAAGGTGTAATTAAATGACATGCCAGATGCCAGTGCACGTTATGTTATACCACCTCTCAGCTGGGCTAGCAAAAGGAATGAATGGAGCCTTAAGACAGCTCTCCTATAGTTACTTATTATCTCTTTTCAATGAAGAATGGGTAAGGTTGAGCAGGATGTCAGCAAACCTGTAATTTCCTAGCCTTTTGGTTACTTCTGTGCTTCTGATCCACCACTGATGTGAAGTTTTGTTGTACTTTTTTTGTTCTGTCAATTATGGCATCTCTCCAAGGAGGCGGCGGGCTCTCATGTCACACATGCGTATTTATGGTAAGGTATATTCGGATTTTCCTGTTGTGCCTGAAACCAGGTGTTTGGGCCTTTCAGGGTGGGTCTGCAGCGCTGCCTCCTCAGGGCAGCAGGGCTCTTGGGGCACTGTGCTTTCTCAAAGGCTAAAAGAACGCTGGCTGAGAAAATGACAGCAGGCTGTTGTAACTTTAGGAAATTAAATGATTTTTTTTTCAGAACTTTAAGAACAGGATTTCTAGAATGTATTATCTTACTCCATTGTGTCTGCTACCTCAGAAGATGGATTTGGTGTCTCTCTTGGCTGTTGCTCTCAGCCTTTAGAGCGGCTTTGCAGGACACCAGCCCAGTTCTTGGGGAGACGAGATGTTGGCTGTCACAAGACAAACTTGCCAGCAAGATTTATTTACTTACTTGGAAGTGGAGATGTTGTTTTAATAATGCAGCCAGCGGGGAATGGAGGTGTTGGCCCGAGCAGGGGCTCTGCAGCATCCTGTGCTCTCGCTCAGTGCAAGGGCACAGCCCCAGGATGAGGAGCAGTGCAGGAGCCATCCCGCAGAAAACCCAAGCCGTGAGCATTCTTAGTCTTGATATTTGTATTTTGTGAGAGCATGCAAACTACAGTGTTTTGGTTCCAGAGGTTTTAATGGATCAGTGATGGCTCACCATCTGCATGTGCAAGGCACTTTGTTTAGAAAAGAGTGCCCGTAATTAAAGATTAATTTACTAGCACTAACACCAACTTCCCTTAAAGTCCACGGTCAACAGCCACGCTCTCTTTCACTGGCATTTGCATTTCTAATTAGGACTGCTTGTGACCAGAAAGTCCCTGCGATTGGCATTCCATTCAATGCATTTTGTTGTCAGACCAATGCTGTGCAGCCAGGACAGTGCTGCAGTTAATGTTTTCTCCACTTTCTCAACCTGTGATATTTCTACTTTGGACGATAATTTCCTACAAATCTTCACTGAGACGGGCATCGCTTTCCTTCTGTCATTTACTGATTGATTATTTTTCTTCTTTTGGCCTTGGAGAACTGATATTAAGGAACCTCTTCAATGAGTTAGACAAAGCTCCCAGCTCCCTGGCTACCAGGGGCTGCCATGGCACGGCTCTCTTTGCCCCTGCATCAGTGCAGAGATCAGAACCCACCACTCTGCATGTGCTGTGAGTGATGCAGCACCTGCCAGGAGACTTTGCTGTTGGAATAGGCAGAAGAAAAGGGAAATATGGCTATTCCTCTTTAACAGGTGGGAAACCAAGGCACGGAGAGCTGATGAGGCTTGCCAAAAGTCAGACAGAAACCTGAAAACAGCCACAAACTGAATCCAGGTCCACTGAGACTCAGCCCAGTGCCTTCATCATTTGTCTCTTCACAGATTTTATTTCTGCAGTTAATTGAGCCGTTCCCTTGGACAGACTGAGAAGCTTCCACCTCCAGCTATAGCACTGCTGCTCCTGTATTTCCTCTGCATGACCTGTAACTCCTCTCCGTTTCCCCCCATGCAGGTGGAGCAGCCTCCCTTGCCCTGCTGCTCTGCAGAGCCCTTCAACAGTCATGTGCTTCATCCCTGACCTTCCCCACAAATAACTCCCCTTGTTCTTTCCTAACCTCAGCCCAATTTGCCCACAACATTGTGCTAATTAATGCCTACTGCAGAAATCACTGTAGATGTCTATTGAGCCTTCAAGCGGCCGCTGTGAGCCACTCAAATGGAGAAGGAAGAATTGTGAGTACCAGCACATCCCAACCCATGCACAACTGAGCCCTAAGCCTGGCCATGAGCCCTCCATGCTAGAGAAACCCTTGGAGTAAGCAAAGAGCTTATGCAAATCCCCTGCTATCTGTCACAAAATGGAGCTCTTCATACTTCAGGAATGATGGGAGAAACAATCTATCGATATTCTGTAATGAGCATAAATGCCCTTTATAAATTGTTTCCCTTTATTGACTCTAAAGCAAATGTAGCTGTGAATGCTGTACATTAATACATTTTATACCTTCTAATGGTTTGATGGCCTCATATATCCAGTAACGCTGAGAATAATCATTAGATTGTAAGGAGTGCAAAATATGTTTTATCACTTGAAAATGGAATTCCTTCTTGAAAGGTAAAACCAGTGGTAGATCATTGATTTGAAAGGTCAGGGTTAAAAAGCTTATTAACGACTGGGTTAAGCTCTAGTAAAATTCTTTGTTTTACTCAGCTGTATGAAGCATTTAGCTAAGTGAGGCTCTTCATTAGGACATTAGTGCTTTTATACTAGCTGTGTAAGGTAAAAATCAGTAATTTCCAGCTTATGTTCAGGAAAATGCATTCCAAGTAGCACCAACTACTCCAAATAACACCAGACAAAGCGTGGCCCTGGGCATAGTGGCTGCCAAGTCCATAGTGCCTGCTCTACCCATCCTCTGCTGGGAGCCCCGAGCAGGGTCTGAGCAGGCAGATATATAGCACAGAGCAGCAGGCTGTGGGCAGAAATACAAGCATGGGTCCCAGAAGCCATGCAGTCATGTCAGGATGCCCCAGCGCTGAGTTAATTAGCCATGACTCCCAGCCTGGCTTTAGATTAGCCCAAGTACTGGGTTCATGGGGATGCAGTGCTTCTTGCCTCTGAGCTGGGGAGCTGTAGTGGGAGAAAAGTGCATGGCCCTATCTACAGACATGTCACAGTGTGTGGATGAAGGGTCTGTACCTTGGGGACACCAGTGGTACCAACTCAAGTGCCCTGTAACTGCTGTCCATCTATCCCAGCAAGGCAGGAGCAGGGCCATCCTCTGAGATGTTGCTCACTGGGGGAGATGGGTCACCAACAGACCGCTGTTTGTGAGGGTATTCTTTCTTTCTAAGCCCCTTGTCCTGTACACGGCCTGATTCCAACACAACCCTTGGTCTGTGGATCTTGTGTTTTGTTCACACAGTGCCTTTCAGGAGTAAAACCGCTCTTCTGTCGTCCTCAGGGCACTGTCCCTGTGTGGCACTGAGCATCGCCCCTTCCTCAGTCCCTCTGTGCCGGGTTGGGTATTCAATTTCTTCAAATTTCTTTTATTTTTAGCACTTCCTAGAAAAATGCTTGCTGTTCACAGAAAGAGATGCAGTGTTAACCCACAGCAGCTGCTACCTGTGGCTAACCAAAAAGAGGGACCCAAAACTCCGTCGTGCTGCATTAAGCAGCCCTTTGTAATGTTTTTAAAGGAAGAAAATAACAATACAGCACATAATATCCACTGCACGTGCTTGGTGCAGAATAACTGGGATACTCAACACTTTTCATATGAAGCAGCCGTGCCAACCCAACCGTCAGAACAACTTTAATACTTCACAGTGAAATTAAATTGCAGATTAAAACAGATGGTTTGACCATTTCATTACAAGCTGTGGTGCTTATTTGCTGACCATTGGCTGGTATATGTAAACACATAAAAAGCAAAAGAGCCCTTAGGTACAAACCATACTCTCTCTTAACTTTTCACTCATGGTTACAGTGTGGCTATGAATGTTTTGGATCCAGACAGTCTTTAAAGGTACTGCATTCAATTTACTTTTACTGATGAAAGGAAGAGGTCACAGAAAGTGCAGAATGGGTGGGAAGAACACAAGGGCTTTGCTATCTGTCCTGCCAACACATTTCAGCTGGCAGCATGATGCAAAGCCATGCTCAGCAGCAACACCCCAGGCTGCTTCATCCATGGCTGCAGGGAGAGGGATCTGGCTGCTCTGCTCTGGTGTCTCCATGGCTGATTTTGGATGCCTCTGGCCCAAAACCCCTTTAAGGGGATTTTATTTGTAGATTGCTGGTGCTGCTTCATTCCTCTGTTTGCTTACGTGGCTGCAGGGAGCATTACCAGTAGCAGAGAGGTTTAATGAAATGTTTGCAAAGTGCTTTGATGTCACTGGCTGAAAAAAAATAATGTTGCTTAACTGCAAAATGTGAGCACCTGGAGCAAGGAAGAGGCCTGTCATTGAGCAGTCCCACACAGGTGTGTGTGCCCTGGTAAAGTAAAGGGGTGTTGGGCAGCTTGCAGCCCACTTGGACCCATGGAGAGGACAGCACCAGCTGCATGCAGCAACGTTGCCCCAGGTACTTCATTTTTCAGATGCTGTTAAACAAACAGAATTCTACTCTAAAAATAATAATGAACAAATCTATAAATGTGTTTAGCTTTGGCAGCACTGAAATGAGTAGATGATGTCTCTTAAAAGTGTGACTGCTGTGCTTCCAGATGTTTCCCATGGCAGTTGGTGCTGGGTTAGGAATGATGGCTGGAGAGATATGGTAAGCAGGGAGTATGGTGAGCCAAAGGCATTCTGCTTTACCTGTTTGTGATGTAGTAACATCATGAAGCCATATGAGCACCTAGAGAGAGCCCAATGCCTGCATGACCATCATGACCATGGATTGAGAAGGAGAACATCTCCCTTCACCATTGGTAGTCCAACAAGCCCAGTCAGCCCTGTCCCCAGGACTTGTGTCTGAGCCTGTGGGCCAGGGGCCCCAAAGATAAGAAAATAAAGTTAGGATTTCATAGCTTTAGGGAGAAAAAAATCTGAAGCTACGGTGCTAAAAGTCTTGCTAAGTTCTTGTGGCAATGAAATGGGAATTTCTAGGAATGGATACGCTCAGCAAAGCAAACAAGTAGGAGCTGCAAGCTGCTGCACAGTCTCAGTCCGTGCTGCTGCAGGCCCCTTGGAAATGGGAATTAATATTCCACACTGGGGCAAAGACACATTCATAGGCACTCACATCTGCATTACAATTTAAAACTTAGACTGTGTCCCTACAAGAGCTCTAAGAAATGAGCATCCAAGGAGGAAAGTGCAGGGGAAGGCATTAACCAGAGTCAATCACCTCTCCGTGACACCCTTCTTTTAGGATCACAGCTACATCTTCAGACAGATAATCCTTGATCATTCTGCATTGCAGCTATCATGCAGAAGAGTTTTCTCATATAATAGCATATTGTTGACAACAAACTAGAAGAGAGATTTAAAAAAATTTTTTTTACAATGCCTAAAAGGGTATAAAAAAGAACTGTATGTTAAAAATCAGTATTTATCAATAGCCCAGGCTATAACTGAGGATTCACAGCATGGACACTGACAGAATGGAGAGAGCATTGTAATGAAAAAAGCGTATCCATCATCAACAATACAATACTTACCGTGACCTAAGGTCAGGTTTGTACAGTTACACCAGATGTTAGATTTCAGCCGCCCTTTGAAATGAAAGAACACAATGGTTACTATTCCCGTAGTGTTGTGGATTTCATTAAACAACAGGTTTATCTTTCAGCTTTAAAATGTAGAGCAAGATTAGGATATTCTAACGTTTAGGTTACAGAAAGACCCGGTAAGCACAATGTGAAGTAGGGCTGGTGCTATCACACGCTGCAGTTTGGCACGCAGCAGCCAGATCTGCCTGGTGGTAAAATTCAAAAGGCAGCAACGCAAAGGGTGCAATAAGAGCACGCAGGAGTGAAAGGAAAAGGGCTGGGTGCTCCCACAGCAGCCCTGGGGCTGTGCTGGCCCCAGCTGGATGTGCTCCGTGGCACCGGGGACAGCAGGCGCGTCTGAACAGGGCTCGCTGTACCACAGCCTGCTGCCTCTGTTCTCCCTTCTCCGTTGATAACAGAGGAGTGGGACCATCATTAGAGGAGCCCAGCCTGGAAGGTGGCTCAATTGTTCAGGATTTCCTTCAGTGACCTCTTCTGAACCTGCCTGTTCCCTCCCCCCGAGCTCAGCCCATTTCCCACATGGAGGGAGATGTTCCCTTGCAACACCGGCTCCTCTTCTGCCTTGTTTGTGTTATTTAGCTCCCTTAGCACTGACTGTTTATACATAAATATATCATTCAGACATAGAAAGCTATCTATCTTTAATTTAGATACTTATTATATATATTACATAGTGCACGCTGTATGTTACATGTTATCTATTACATATGAGTGGTTTACATAAATACACAATTTAGTTACATATTATATATTTATTACATAGTATGTGCTATGTAATGTATATATAATGTGTGCTTATATATTAAGTATTCTATTGGAGTGGCTTATATACATACATAGATAATTTAGATATTTACTACGTATATTATGTGGTATGTATATTATGCTGTGTGTTACATACACATGCACACATAACCTGAAACTTCAATATGAACTCCACTCTGAAGTTATATTCTCATTCATTAATAATAATCGTTAACAGTAATCAGCAACACTGAACGTACTCAGATCTAATATAAAAGGTGAGGACAGACTTGGGGCAGGTGTGAAGAAGCCCCCGTTTCTTCAGTCCTCTGTTTTCTTCTCCTCCCAGCTCTGTGTTTTTTTGTAAACATTTTCTGTTTCGGACCATGCAGGTAAGGCAGAGGAGCAAAGCACATGTCCCAAATTATTTCATTAAAAATTAATGCTTTATAAAAGTGTACACATTTCATTAACTTCACATTGCACGCTTTGCAAATATTCTAAGGGATGCTAATCTCCTGGCTTTAATTAGATTGAAGGTCTCTTGCAAAGGCTATCATTTTAATATAAAATGAGCGATCTTTTAAGCTTTGTGAATTAGAAAACAGGAACTCCCATTTTAGATCAACTGTTACACCCTGAAACAAAAGAGTTCTGTGTTTTTGCAAAAAGTTAAGGTTTTTGCACCGCCTAACATGGAAAGTCAGAAGCCAGGCAGTGCAAATATCCTTTGTTTCCACCCGGGAATGTGTTGCATACACTCATGCCGAGTTCCACCCCAACTCTTCCACCCCATCAGGGTGGCACCTGGTCCTGTTCTCCTTGCTCTGGTGGCTTTCTGCGTGACGTCAGGGAACTCAGATCACCTCCAAATCGCACAGTGACCCTCAGACAGAGAACTGTGTGGGAGAGAGGAGCAGGGCTTTGCCTGGAGCTGGATGGCTGCAGGGAGGCACCGAGGGGCGGCAGTAAGGCGGAGGGCTGCTTCTCACTGAGGACTGAACTCCTTTCAATCTGCAGTTGTTTTCTGCCCCTGTTCTCCTGCTATTATCCCCTGCTAGGAGACGAATTTTTATATTTCTGACCAAGACCCAATCTTCTTTCCCTTATCAAACATAATAGAAAGTGCTGTAGTTATAGAATAACAAACTCACCTCCTGGATAAATGTCAATCTATTTTTAAGTGTGGGATCAGCTCTGGAGCTCCCCATGATAACGTATCGCCTGATGCCAGCATGGTGTCCCTTCATTGCTGGTCCGACTCTCCTCCAGTCCCACACAAGCCACAGACCTGGCCTTGATCACTGCCCTTTTACCTCTCCTAACAGTACCCTCCTTGAGAAGGGGCTGGTCCTGTCCACCCTGACCCAGAAGAGTTTTTCTTCTCCAGAACTTTATCCAGTCAATTTTAAACTACGCTGTGCAAGTGTACAAATCACCTGTGTAGCGGTGCAGTTCAGCTTTGTGCATTTTGCTGTTGGGCTTCTGGACCCATAAGGTGCTTTCAGACTTAACTCTGTCTTTTGTGGAGCAGGACTGGGAGGCAGCAGTATAAAAATTCCTTATAGTCAGACACAGGACAGGCTGCCATGTGGAATATGAGTATGGAGAGGGACTTGTAAAAGCCCCCTTTATTTGTACTTGTGGGGAAAAGGCCTCCAAAACCATTGCTGGCATTTGTTCCTATCTGAGCAGCACTCAATTAAATAATGATATTTTTTTTCAGTTAGTCATTCATGCCAATTTGGCGTATAGGCTCTTCAAAACTAAGAGGGCTAAGCTCCAAGTCTAAATTTAATTAATCAATAATTGTCATTTTTAAACAATCATGATTTATACAAAATTGACCTTTAGAAAAAGAACCGACTCCATTAATGTCTGTGCTTAGCTCCCTTGCTGCGGCAGCTCTTTCTGCTGACAGCCTTTCTGGGCAAGTTTCCTTTAAGAGAACAAAATCCTCAACTTCATTTCTTCAGTTCCCTAATTTTGATTCAGAGCCACATCTTTGTTTAAAGGTTTATGTAGATAAACCTCAATTTTGTCAATCTCAATTTTGTATAAGAAGCAGGATCAACTTCTAATTTCCAATGTTAAATCCTAGGCTCTGCTTTCCACTGCAATATTCTCAAGATGACTATTCCAGGTTAGATCCCATGCTGGGCTCAACATTTAGAATAAACTAAAGAAACAGTAACTTCATTTACTCATTAAGACCACGGACTTGCTCTGAAGCGATCTACTACACCGTCAGCTCTCTGAGTTCAGGCCAACACACACAACAACGGCACGGACAGTAACAATGACATTTGGGACTGCCCGAAATGCAAATCCACTGCTTTCCTATTGCCTAAGGACACACGAAGTAATACCTATCATCTTTTGTGAAAGTCCGTACGTGGATGAGATGTGAATGATCTTCCCACAGAGTGCCCAGCTGCTATCGTAACGGCTTGCTGCTTTAAGCACCCAGTGAGAGGGAAAAAGTCACTGGCTGTCTGATTTCCTCCTGCACAGTATCTCATGTACTCCCAGTGCCACTTGCAGTATGTACTACTAAGCCAGTGGCGCAAGCTTTGTGGCTATTGTGGTGCTGTTTGTTTTCCTACAAGCACTGATCCATAAGGGCACAACTGGGGGGTGAAAGCCTTCAGTTCGAGCTCTGACTATAGGAAGCCTGCTTCCAGCTCCCCTCTGTGCTGCCACATACCAAGGACGCCGCAGCCCCTTTTCTAGAGGGCTGGGAGACAAATACTAAAGCACGAGGGATATTCAAGTATTATTAGGGCAGTGGTCAATGTGGGGTAAAGACAAAGATCGAGCCGCTGATTTTGTTTTTTTGGGAGAAGACAGGGCACCCATTCTGCAGTGTTTAGGTGTCATACCCACGCAGAGTGAGCTCCCCTCTTACCACACCTCACCTCGTGCCCCTCTGCTGAGGTTGACCCAACAAACACATACTCTGTACGTGCTGTGACAGGTGCTGCATTTGAGCAAATGTTAATGGACAGCATGTTAACTCTAAGTGGGTTCATGTTGCTGAGTGCGTGTGCGAGTCTGCCTCTCTCGTATAAACACTCCTGACTCTCATCTGCTTTGATCAGTATCATTCACTTCTGTGATCCTCGCTCTTTTCCAGTGCCCTGACAAATTTTTGGTTCCACGTCAACATCAATATCTCAGTGGCTATCACTGAGGTTGAGATGGGCCAGCTCACCTCAGGATCACACCCCGGCAGTTCAGAAACGATCCGAGGGTATCACAAACCTTTTACAATGTGTGTATCAAATCCTCTGCTGAACTCCACATTTCTGAGCATCTCTTTGCTATGGATTTTTATGATCTGGAGCGCGTGGGTACATTTCTGCTACCATTGAGCAGAATAGAAAAGGACAGGGCAATGGCACAATTGCACTCTTTCCTACTCACACATTCACTTCAAAATCTCTCTTGTTTAACTCTTGGGCAAGAAGGGAGGAAGGTTTGTGGCATTACCCAAACCAAGGTAATGTAGTAGAAAATTTGTGTTATTCTTAAACAAGAGAAATTTGCAAAGAAAAGGACTGGCATTACACTTTTTCACATGATCTCTGAATTTGACCCACATTCGATGGGCTGTTGGATATACAGTATTTGTGCTACATTTTTCCTCCTTGTATTCATTACGTTTGAATATGGGGACCAAATCCAAAGCTCCATGAACTTCAATAGCACTGTTCTGATTTCCGTCAGATGAAGTTCTTCCTTTATATTTCAGAAGACATAAGAAATGCACTGGGAGAACCTCAGACTACACAGTCTATGTCTTCAATGTCTTTAAAATCCCTTTGCTGCAGGCCATTACCTCAACTTCTTTTTTTCTCAGTGGCTGGTTTACATCTTAGATACTCAAAACAAAAAACATTGGCGCGATCTGTATTTAAAGCACCAGCTTCTGGAAGTCGTGTTCACACTTGTGTGAAAGGTAGCACTCTGTTCTTTGGACAAAAAAATTTTCTAATCTCTTTCAACACCACTGAGAGAATTTTCTTTCTCCTTTAGAGGCAACTGTAACGTGCAAATATTCTAGTGCTTAGAGAATGTATGGAAGTGTGTGTCTACACACACACAACTTAATCATTAGGCTCATTTTGAAACCATGTGCTCCAACTCATAAATAAAGTCTATTAACATTGAAATATTGATCAAAATCAGGGATTCCAGCATCATCTCTTTCTCTG